GAAGGGGGCAAAAGCGAGTATTAGTGAATAGATATGATATGATATGATATGACATCAGAATGTCACGGTGGTATCGTATGATTATATAAGATCTTAGAATGAAGGAGAAGGAAGGTATAATGGTTGGTACCTTACTCTTCGAATAAGGGATCAAAAGGATAAGATGAAATAAAATTACTCGGAATATTTGGTGTATTGTGTATTGTGTGTAGTGTAAGTCTTACATTATTGAACGAGATTTCGATCTGGTGGCTGTGAATCTGTGAAAGAAGTACGGGAGAAACGTATGGCAGCGGGGATCAAGCGAAGAGTAAAGTAATTTCCTGTGCCTGACTATCTACCGGGAGGGAGGGAGGGAGGATTATTGAATGAATGGTGCAGAGTACAAATTAGAGAATACTTAGCGCTTATCATTAGGATTATTCATCGATGTTTTTTGTTCCTCTAGGATGAGACGCCATTGGAGATTTGCGACGATGTATAGCTTTGTAAAGTAGTTTTGTACAATAGTTTGTATAGTTAGAAGTCAGAAGACGGGTTCAGAGGTCAATTCTAAGAATAGTATAAACCTGATAATTCACAATAAACCGTTTTGAGACAAATAGTAATAGTCTTTTCTTGGTAGTAAACATCAAATTAGCTGAAGCCTCATCATGTAAGGCAATGTAAAACGTCTCACTCAAAATGGAAGTGATCATGATTGTGCGGTTATTCTCATGTTTCTTTTACGGAGAACATGGCTTCATCAATGTGAATGAGGTCGAATATAGCCGCTGTTGATGGCGCATATGCTGAGATGATATACTCACGGAAGTGAATACTACCATAATCATCAATGATTCAACGAGATGCATTGAAAAGGCTGGTTGGCTATTGTTCGGAGAAATGGGTGTACGAAAAGATGAATCCAGTTGTTATATGATTGGGAGATCGCATAGGATTACCCCCAGCACCTGGGTATTGAGTTCTTGTTATCGGTTAAAGAAGTGATGATACGTATCATACGTTGTTGTCCTCGAGGGATAAGAAGGTGGCATTACATGCATCCTGCATCTGCAATTACAATCAGGGGTAATCGGGTCTACCGGCAAAAAAAAGATTGTAATCTATTGGCCCTTTATCTTTTCTTACCCATTCATTTAATTATTGGTGTTTATACCTAGGTAGGTTATGCATTTTGGCGCCGCACACGCAGAAGAAGTTTGACAGAGAAATATCGGATAAAACTGGTGATTGGTTTATTGGCTTAAGATGAAGCGGTTCACGAATCACCATACACAATTTCTGTGTAAACCATTAAAAAAGATTAGATGGGAAATCTCTTGATGATTTCACTAAAAAGATCCACATCAAGAAACATTCAGCCAATCAAAAATTAATGGTACCTGAGATTGATTCCGTTTTTATTTTACTTGTCCGCTTATCCTATCTTACTAGTCTGTATTTGTAATAGTCTCTTGTTTATCCGCAATTCCTAATAGGAACCTGGTCCCTTCTACCTTCAAAGTTCAGAAAGAGAGCGCGTCCCTTCTTTTTATATCCTTCACCCTTGTCGAACGGTAGTAAATTATAATTATTGTCTAATATTGTCTAATATTCTACACGGTCACTACCAAATTGAGTCAAACCTTTTTTCAAATGAAGTGAGGTGAAAAGAGAAAGCACATTTGAAGGTTGATTTTGGTGAATTGTGTTGTTTACCAGGTAGGCAGGTACTGTGATTGGTAAGTGTAAATCTTAATTCAAAAGTTCCTCTGAGATCTTGAAGCTTGATGTCTGTTCTTGAACAAAAAGACTTCTCTGAGAATACTCTGTAACCTTTCTTCTTCCCCCTCCCCAACCCCCCAGTTACTCCTCAATTCCAAATCCTGGACATCATTAAGCCCAATTATTACCGAGAACTGTGAATAATCCGTGATCGTTCTTCTTTCACAGTCGGGGGATCAACCTCTTTTGATTCTTTTGATCCATTCTTCTCCCCTCCCCATATGGGCCATAACTCATAACTCATTTTCTCTCCCTTCGAACCAAACCTTTTCTAGTCTTTCCCTTGACTGCACATCTATTTCCCTTTTCTTCTTTCGGTACCTATCTAGACTCTAATGTCTTGAGATTGCCATCTGGGCCTTATAGCAAGAATGTCGTTCGTAGGAGATATACGAGCCAAACCTCTCCCCTCAACTCCTGATTCTGAGACTCATTACGCTTCAAATAATTCATCGACTCCATCCGATCTCACGGACTCAGCTACCCCGGTCACTCATTCAAATCCACATGAAAACCAACATCGGCCAAATTCTCAACCAAAGAATCCTCCATATTCGCAGCACTCACAAACACAGTCAGCCACAGCCCGATCTCGCGCATATTCAACAGCTTCCACGTCGTCAATAAATTCCGTTCGTCGCAAACCTTTACCTGTAAGTGCCTCGCCTTTGGCAACCAGGTTTTCCACCAGGTATTCCACGGCCGAATACTTCAGTCCATCTATCGAAGAATTACCAGAACCCGATCTGCCACATTCAAGGTATACGAATGTTGCTGATAGTCCAACACTTTACGAATTTCCATCTAATTTAAAAAGCGCTGTGGCATTTTCCCCAGAAAGTTCCAGCAACAGAAATTCCGTCCGAAGTTCAGTAAGAAGTTCAAGAAGCTCTAAAAGTTCTAGAAGTTCTAAAAGTGCTTCGAAACAACAAAGACCATCATCAAAGTATGTTTACTAGAGGTTCAGTACCTATGCTCACATCTGATTTTCCTTACTCACTGTTTCGTATTGATGCTAAGATACTTTGGTTTAGAAGATATTCCAGCGAGCAAATCGCTTGGACTACAGTGACGCCAGCGCTACCAGAACAACTATCAGAACCCGAAGAACAAATCCCTAGCCCAAAAAGTCCGACCCTTTTAGTTCCGTCTCACACACATTCACCGGGAGCCTCGAGGCATGCAAGATTGGTTAGCGATTCTGCTTTAAGTTCTGATTCTGAATCTACCGGTAATTGGTACGGGGATTCAAGTCCAGAAAGTCGCCCGGGTTCTTCTGCTACTATGTCCATTTTCTCTTCCAAAGCTACACCACCACATAATATTATACCTGATGCTCCGGCAAGAACCTATTCTCACGAATCTCACGACTCTGCTTCGACTATACAAAAACCCAAATCGCCAGGGAAGCTTGGTTCTTTATTTAGCTGGGGAGGTGCGGTATCCCCATCGAGCTCAACAACGACCTTTTCAGAAGATAAGACAGATTATTCTCCAAATTCTCCGATACCGTCGTCAAATGCATCCCCGCATAAACTTTCGGAATTCGAAGACTCCGATATCAGGACATATAATACTAAAGCGCCACCGTCCGCGATCGATATCCCCAAAGCCAATGCAGATGCGGCCGATTATTTCGAAAACACATATCTACAAATACCCATAGCGACACCTAGCCCCACAAATTCACTGGTTGAAGAAATGGAGCAAGAATTGAAGGATATTAGCCAAGAGCTGGCGTCTTCTATACGAAGAGAGATGGACCTGGAAGATCTTGTAGACAGACTACAGCTCGAAGCTCAAAATTCAGGAACAAATGCCAGCAAACGAACAAGCGATTATTTCTCGGATTCTGGAACAGGTGTGATTCCTAGATATGGGGATCCTGATCCCAAGCAAGATGAAATGGATAAAATTCAAAGGAAAACGGAACAAGAGAAGGCTTCAATTAGGTTAGAACTTACAAATAAGGTACAGGATGAACGAGCTATCAGGAAACAGCTTGAAACGCAAATTCAGGCTTTGGAAGAGAGGGCAGCTCAGGTAATTCTATCGATACACTTTTTTGTTCTCGCAACTGACATGATTTTTTAGGTTGACCTTGCAGCTCTGAATTCACTTGATACCAATGGACGACTGAAAGAATTGGAGACAACTTGCGAGGATCTTCGCCACAAATTATCCGAAGAGAAACAGGTTAGGGAAAACTTTGAAGATCTCTTGACTGCACTTAAAGCAGACCTCGAAACTTCTCACAACGAACGTGATAACTTACGAGATGAGATTGTTCCTCAGCTGAAGGCCCGTGTCGAAGGGCTTGAAGCTCAAGCTGCAGAGCATGAAAAGTTGACCTATGAGCAAACCAAGATGGCCCAAGAACTCCAAAGCCTGAAAAAGGAAAATGTCACATTGGTCAACGCCCAAAGACTTCAATTGGAGATGAATCAGTTCAATTCCGTATCGGACGAGGATAGCATGGGTAGCATAAGCAATCTACCAAAGTCTAGGTCATCCATAATGAGTATTGCTGGTATAGGTGGACTCAGTGGAATGGGTGGAGGTGCTTTGGGCGGTTCAGGTGGCTCAGGTGGTTTGAAACGGGCCAACTCACTTGCACATACCGGAAAAACGGCTAGATCACCTGTTGGATCGTTATCAAGGACGGCCTCTGTCAGAGCCATAGAGTTCAAAGACAATTTGGCGCAAACGGTGAAGGATATTGAGCTCCAACGAGATTCGCTACATCGTGCTCTCAAAAGCTTACTCGAACGTCACGAGCACCAAAATCGTGAAAATGAAAAGAAAATCCGCCAATTGGAAATGGAAAGAGATCGTGCCTTGAACCAATCACCAAGGCGGCGTGGATACGACAAGGAAGTTTCTAGTTTGAGAGAAGAAATAAATATGCTTCGCCGTCGTGCGGATGAAGCGATTGAGCAAAAGTGGCAATGTGAGAAAGGACTAGGTGGCTTAAAGATGGATCTCGATCGTGCTGAACAGGAAATTGGTTCACTAAGAAGCTTGTTACAAGAGAAAGACATCTTAATCAAGCGATCGAGTATAGATTCCAGACCTGGGAGCGCACACGCGACCTCTGAGACACTTGAGCGATCGTATCGGGACCTTCAATCGGCTTACGCAGCTTCTCTTGAGAGAATCAAGACCCTCGAAATCTCAGCCTCTGGTGATGAAGCTACTGCACGAGCTATGGAGCAGTTGGAGAGGAGCTTGTCTGATGCAATTTATGAAAGAGATGTCGTCAAACAAGAGCTTGAGGCGGTCAAGGAGCAATCTGAATCTTTGAGAGACTCAGAAAAGGTACATCTTCAGGAGGAGATGCAACTAGCAGATGAGTTGCGTGAATCAGCCAGAAGAGTTGAGGAATTGGCTGGACAAGTTAGACTTCAACTTGCTTCAAACAGCACTCTCAGACAACGTCTAGCTGAAGCTATTGAGCGTGGAGAGAAGGAGCAGAAAGCTAATGCTCAAAAGATCACTTTCCTCCAAACTAAGCTCAAGGCTCTCGAGGATCAACTTATGGCTGCTCAGAACATATCCGAGGTGAGAATTGCTCGTCATGAAGATGAGATTCGTGATCTCAAGGATAGCCACAATTTCCAACTTCATCGAGTAAAGTCGGAACTCCGCTCTCCTCGTTCATTCGGACCTAAGGCTCCTATGTCTCCATTATTCGCAAATGCTAAGAAGGTGCCACGTCTCTCCGTTACAACCTCTGGCAAAGGAATGTCTGTATCTGAAGATCTAAAAGTTGAACATTTGAAACAACAAGTTGTTAATCTTGAATCTGCTCTTGCCGAAGCCGATAGGGAAATGGAAGAAGTTGTCGGTCGTATGAATATCGCGCAAATCGAAGTAATGGAACTACAGAACGAACGGGAAGAAGCAGTACGTGAAACGAAGAAATTACAGAAAATGATTGAACAAGAAAGATTGAGAGCTTTTGAGGGAAGATTTGCTACTCTTAACTCATCATCATAATGAATGGAGAATCTCGAGGTAGATGATGGTTTCAAGATTGTTTCGTCAAGCGACTTTAGCGTTTGTCAGTCTGGTGGTGATTCTCTACCAGCATCTCTAATTTATTAATCATCCGACGGCCCTGGAATTTTTGGGATGGGACTGAATGGATGGGTGAACATGGAGTTATTTATTATTGACTGGCATTGATTTCTTACTATCGAAAAAATGCATCAAACGGAATGGGCCAATTGGTGGCTTATGCATCATATTATATACACTAGGGTTAGAAAATATCTTGGTACTGGGATGAATTGATATTATCTGATATTATTTCTCAAGGTGGTAGAATGACTGATGAGTGGCGGTCAAGAAAGAAGCGTGATGGTTGTAATTATTTTGAGGATAGGGTTCGCTGAGAGTCAGGAACAAATGCATATGGGGATGAGAGAAAGAGAAAATGGTGGCTTGTATGATTACTTGTTGTATATTGTATATTGATACACTGGATTTTTAGATACCAGATGGTGCTAGATGAGTGAGGAGAGAAGAGAAAATTAAGTGCAAGTACCTAGTAATTTGATTTTTGTCTTGAAAATTAATTGGTATTGCTTTGATTTTTGTGTATAGATCATGTTTGAATATAAGATTATATAACAGACCTCTTTATTAGATGCTCTTTCATATTTATATATGTTTCGGAATTGTCTTTGCTTCAGGATTACAAAGATTTTATCCGAGTTTAATGATTCTTTTATAATTTTTCAAGGCTATTCTGAAATAATTAGAGTATTGATTCGAATAAAACCCTCAGATTATGTGTGAGATGGTGAATTCGAAATGCTAGATTTAGTCACGCCTGTTAAGTTTTGAGATGAATGGGTAAGGATAGGATGAAGATGTTAGTTAGTTAGGAAGATTAGAAAGGATAGCAAAATGAGAAGATGGTGTTCATTCTTAATAAGTATTATTTTACTGAAAAGTATTTATGTGTTTGTGGAGAAATATGTTGGGTGAATGTGATGGATGATGGATGGGTGGGTTGGGAATAAGGAATTCTAATATTTAATCTTTCTTTTTAATTTAAACTTTTTTTATATTGAAAATATGTGCTTTCTTTTTGACTTTTTTGTATTCTAGTGTTTATTTATATTAATATGTTACTATTGTAGAGATTAATTGTTTGTTGGTTTTGGAGAATATTAATTGCAACGACACTATATCTTCACTTCCTCTTAGTTAAGTTTATCATCCTAAAAAATCGAGATTATTTTAAATAGGACGATATAACAGAACAAAAAATATCTATGGATATATTATACGTCTGCTACTGCAAAGTACTGAGTATCTTTTTGAACTTTAATTTGGAGGAATAGCTCACAGAGGGTTTAATCTTCTTGTATTAGCTGATTCTTTGGGAAGTTAGCTGACAGTACAATAGATCATGGATTCATGGTGGATTTTACTACAGGTTAGCTAGCGAGAATCATGGTTTTGTACTTTTAGAAAAAGAGGATGGGAGCTAGGAGTGAATAGTGGTATGTGTATGTCAATTTCAAAAGATCTTATTGATGAATGTACAGGGTTGGGGATGTGTTCTAGCAATCGTGCCTATTCAGATAAAAGGCTTTCGATAGACCTAGGGGATAATTTGTATCAGTTCCAACTTTTTTGGGACATATCACCTGAGATAGTCTTGTGGAGAAGAGTCGTTGATGATCCTCAATTATCATTTAGATTGGCATTGGTCAATTATTGTCGCTATTCCTGTTTATATTGACATTCATTTAGATGGCATCATTCTTGCGATGATAATCAATATGCTTCCTGATTATACATATCACATAACAAATTCCTCGCTTATAACATACTTTTGCTCCTTGATCCTGTAAGCCATGTTTGTACATCTCTTCACCATAGGCCTTTTAGATTCGTGATTCTTCCCTACTACACACACCCGCTCTCTCCAATATAGAAGACGCAAAATTGCTTGGCCACTAGTAGGTTATTAATCCAATGATAACCTCTTATATACCACCACAAAAAGTCATTCAAACATAGTCGGACATACAACAAGAATGTAAAACAGAAAGAGTGGACCAATAGTGAAAACGACAAGAAATCTCCAAATTACCGAATTTAATATAAAAATGCACCTCTTCCTCTCTGTTAAAATCTCAAACAAAGTTGATGAGAGGAGCTTTCAGCTAGACAAGGCAACTGGTGAAGTACTCGCAGTGAGTGCAGAGATTTTAATCTGCGATTTTGCTATGGAATTATCCCAAAATTTGGGGTATTAATCAAGCTAAGGAAAGTTCACATCAAAAAATATATCATCGTTTTGCATATATCTCCATTGTCGAATCGGGAATTTATTCGCTGTCTTTGTTATATATGTGAAAGTGTTCCTACCAGTGAAGGTAAGATTACAGTCTTATTTAGGCTAGCCAGGTAAAGCATATGTGACTAAATCGTATTATTTATATTCTAGATCCATCGATTTCCTCACGTTTCTTTGGGCTCAACTGATATAGGTGAGTCAACGGAGGACTCCACACTCATTGGAAGATAGCGGAAGTCTTGTATTTGCATTCATGATTGCACTTTTATAAATAGTGATACCTTGTTAACTTCTGTGGAAAAGAGTAGACGTGCGTATAAAGCCAATTTCTTTCACAGATCTTAGGAGCGCAACAGCAGGGCATTCTACCGGAGCATCATAATATTCTTCATTCTCTCCTGTTGCGCAAATCTGTTTGGTTTGGGTAGAAAGGGGTTATCATACATATCAGAAGTTTGCCTAATTATAAGATAGGAAGCACCTTTTACCGTTGCCTGAAATTACTATTATCGAACCATATGTAAGTCTTATTACCATGGCAGCGACATTTCGAAATGTCAAGCATTATTAAATTTGATACCTTTCCATCGACGAGGAAATTCACAGACCAGAAGAAAATACAAAGGGTAAAGATGAATTTTCCTCCCAACGACCTTACTTAATGTGAAAGCCTTCCTTCTATGCTTAAAGCTAGTAGTAAGAGAAAGCACTTGAACCATAGATCTCTCCATTTAAGTTTAATACTCTACTTTCAAGCCAGCTCTCTCTTTTGGACTACTTTTCTTGTTAAAAATAACAAAAATCAGTACTTATAACCTTTTATTTATGACTATAATACTTTGAAATTTTGAATATAAATTAATTATCTATCTACTAACGAATTTAAAATTTCAGATTTTTTAATAATTTTATCAATTGAAAATATTAAAAGATAAAATTATAATCATCAATATAAACAAACTAATATTGCGCCTCCAAAAATGTCAAGCAACCATGGTCTAATTATATTTTATTCTGGCTGAACAAATAATATGAGTTCTGTTTGTCTTTGGGTACTATAGAAGTGAGAAAATAGAATGAAACACCTCTTTTTCGTCTGGAGATGTTGCGTTTGCGATTCCTAGTATTCTTTGCTAGTGTTGGAGATTCAGAGGACATTAGTAGTGTTTTGTAGGCTTTGGATAAGGTGCGGGTCAGGAATTAATACTCCTATCGTAGCGCCTACTTGACTGAATATTTTGACAAAGTAATGGAGAACTGAACTGTCATTATTCGTCTTATCTTGATGAATATATCAGAGAATTCTGCTGCGGAGATGAAGATCGCTTCACTTGATGAGACCTGTCATAGCTCTTAACTATCCATGCCCATACACCTCCATGCTTAAAGCAAGTCGACACTAGTCTGCTCTAGTCTATGACTGGAATACAGTCATTTTATCCCTGAATCATCCTGCCCTTCCTGGAGGAACCACAATGGATATTAATTGCAAAGTGTATATTCTTGTACCCAGTGGACTTTTTTAACAACCTATATCCATATAACGACCTATATCCATATACCAAACTCCATCACAAATGCACGCTTTGCTTCCCTTCCCGCCCAATCCTTTAGCAAATAGATATTTTCCGTTCACCTCATTTGAAAGCTCCACACAATTGAAGTATAGCTTCAATCGCTATCCTCTCCATTATCCAGCGCTTCATCCTCTGCTTCCCTTTCTTCCGGCTCCTCAACCTCAAACCTCTCTTCCCCATCATCATCGTCCCTTACTTCACCCTCCCCTTCCCCTTCATCCTCGGCTTCCTCTCCCTCCTCTTCTTCATCATGCTCTTCATTATCTTCTTCCGCATCCATCTCTTCATCATGTTCCTCCTGTGTCTCTCCACTACCCCCACTGCCTTCATCTCTCCTGGCCTTCTTGGCCTTCGGTTCCCCATCTCCTTCTCGATCCAACATTTCCGAATCGCCTTCTCCATTTTCCCCTCCCGCTTGACTCCCAGCTACTTTATCTGCTGCGACTTTCTTTCTATATGTGTTTCTCTTATCACTCTGCGTTTCAAGGAATTCTATTATCATTTATTCAATATTAGCATGCCGTGACTCCCGCATTCTCCCCACCAGCATGTCCATTCTAGTAGAATATAGAAATCGTATACTAACTTGCAAGCTCCGCCTCCAACCTCGGTTTAAAATCTGGAAATTCTAAATCATCCAATGCCTTGAATACATCCTGCGGCGCTATCGTTTTAACGCTTCGATTGTGTGCGTTCTCATTTGCGCTTTGTATTCACAATTACATTAGCAATCCCTTCAAACAACTTCTCCTCCTTTCGATTCCCCGCACAATCTCCAATCGCTCTTCCCCTCAAACCCTCTCAAAGCTTCAAATAAGAGTCCAACTCACTGCGTAGCCAAATAATTGACAAAAACCGTCGCGCTCTTACTCATCGCCAACATCGCATTTCCCTGAATCTGAGTATTCGGTGGCAAAACCCCCTTCGCCAACCTCGTCACAATACTTTTCGGAAGATTAAGATCCTGTCGGCCATGAAATCCATTAGTTTGACCTCCAATTCGAGCGCGAGGAGAAGAAGAAACCTCAAAGTCTTCTGGAGAACCCGACTTGAAATATCCCCATTCGGGGGAATCTAGCTAGAGAGACCTGCTGTAAGAAAAGTACGAGAAATAAATATTAAAACACACCTCGATACTAGTTCCCTCTCGAACTACGGTTGTCTCTTTCGCGGGTGTGGCTTCGTCACCGGTGACGGGCTTCACGACGTCGCTTTTTCGTGGTGGCATGTTGCGATGTGTGTTTGTGTGAAGGGCAATTGGAGAGTGCGGTGGTTGTGATGTTGAGGATGGAAGTTGATTTACTTTATTGCTTTGGCTCCATTTGATATTGGCAGTTTATTTCTCCTGGGGGAAGGCGGTGAGGCGCCAAATTTCGCGAAAAGCAAACGCGAAAACCGTGTAAAGTCACGTGGATATTCTTGTGATAATGGGGAAGGTCGTCTCTTGTTAGATTGTAGAGTTTGAGATTTGTTATGTTGTACTGGATTTTCATTTGTTAAATGGTTGACTTGTTGTCTTGAGGACTAGCTTGCAAGGTAAATCTACTTGACCGCATTGGAAAGATTAGTCCGGCTTGTTTGCATGTATGATCACAAGCATTGAAATGGCTGGGACGATGAGGACGAAGCTCATTTGAATATTTATTTTACATTAGGTCATATCTGCATACTAATTCATGATGCTGTGTATCTCATTTATTGCTTCAGTCACCAGGCTATGCGTATCATAACTAAGCCTTCTATCGAGTGGTGAATTTCAGATCCCCTCAAAAACACATGTGTCAATGATATTGCACTAGATCGACATCCTTTCCTCTGTATGCTTTCAGACTCCACCAATATGAATAAAACCTCCTTGGTATCAATTGCAATCCTCCATCATTTATAAAACAAACCCCGCCTGCCTCCCAAACCCAAATAATGCAGATAGAAAAAAGACCAACTTCTAGGCCCGAGACTATGAGATAGCCAACCCAATTTCCCGATCGCTATCCCAGAAAGGTGGATACGCAGCTCGCGGCGGTGGCCTTGGTGATAATGGTGTGATTGGTGCTAGAGTCCCAGGGCCTGATGCCATTTCTCGAAAGGACATATCCGATGAATCGTTGTAGTCTCTGTGGTTGTAATCTCCGTGGATTCGAAAGTCGTCTTCTGGATCATACCATGTCGCTACCCTGTCATTGGCTCTCAATTCCTTCAATTCGCCTCCATTGCCACTTTTGACACTCCACATGCTCCTCCCACTCACACTACTTCTCCTGCTCTTCGTGCGTGAATGACCTCCCGACTTCGATAGCCGTGATCTATGTCGTTCGACTGGTTTAATGAATGGTTCCGCACCAGGCACTACTTCGTCTGTCAGACCGATTCTAGCATTCGGTGCCTGGGCGAGGAAAGTAGGGCTATCAGGTATATAGCTTGAGACGCCTGAAGGATAAAAGGGGGATCGTGTTCGAGAAGAAGTAGGAGAGGCTGTCCACGTCCATCCCGGCGAATGTGTCATTTGTATCGTATTGGATTGTGTATAATCTCGACCTCCCGTCTCTTTATCGATTACTAGGTCCTCACCCATAAACACTTTTCTCTCATTTCCCGAGCGCCGCCACGATTCAATCTCGTCGTCGTCTATCGGTGTCACTCCTCTTCCGGTAAAACTTCGATTTCTCCGATAACGAATGAAAAGATATATAGCGATTGAGACTAAAATGATACCGAACGTACCCAAGACGGAAGCAAGGATGATGATCAGGGTGTTGCGGCTTATGCCAGAGCTTGCAGATGATCCGGCTGTAGAACTCGAAAAAGGAGCGCTCGTTGTTGCTGTCGATGTGGCTTCCCCATTTCCGGGTAGATTATCTGCTCCTGATGTGGAAGCGGCTGATAGGATGGAAGAGATAGCGATCGTGTTCGTAATCATCGATGTGACTGAAGAGGATGTGAATGACGATTCATCCTTCCTCGAGCTCGTGGATGTTTCTGGTTTTATTGTGCTAGGAGACTCCGAAGGAGATGCTTCCGATAATGAGAAATCATTTATAGCAACTAATGTTTGGGCGGAAGAGAGAAAAAACGACATCAACGTTGCGAACAACAAGTAAATGCCCCGCATTATGATGAAGTGAGGTGCCTTGGCCGTAGAGCAAATATCAAGCTCGATTTAATGTGATCAAAACATTTTTATCAGTCGTAGACTGTCGAACCGACTGGGTTCTGTCCTTGCTTCTCACTCTTTGATCTTAGTTGGGCAAAGATCGTAATGAAATAAATAGATAAAGTGAGAGAGGATGAACAAGAAGGCTGGTGTAGAGAGAAATAAGAGAAAGAGTCTTGAAATCAAAGGATCCCCTTAGAGACCAGCCCAATTATCCTAACGGATGCTGTTCAGGCGTGAGGGCCAAGTCAACTCGAGATGCAGGCACCAACATCTATATAAGAGGATAAGTTACAATTGTCGTAACCGGTAGTTGGAGCTACTGCTCATGTGGAGAAGTCTGTGTTGGACTATGGAAAATGCGGCATAAGCGTCTTACCTGTGGTCTGTGAGATCGGGGTCATTTGATGGGTGGATGCGTATGTGCTGTTGGTATCATCAAAACAAGCGAAGAAAGATGTGCAGGCGTGCAGAAATGCAGAATAAGATCCTTGCTCGTCTTTCCGACTTTGGTCGGTCAAGGGGGGCCAGCCTCCTCGACGACCTAGGGGTATAAGTCACTATTCCTCGTGGGGAGAGCAAACACGGAAATGAACATCTATTGGCTCCATCAGTTTCTCTGGTTCAAAAGTTAACAGTATTTGGTTATCGATGAGTGGTTGATGCTGAACTGTTTTCGATGTAACCTGGTCAAAATCCTCGGGGAGTTTGTGTATCGAACGAATGGCAGGTCGATATGATATTTGACGCCATTGCCGAAACGTGCCTCGCATGTCGAGTTACAAGGTACGTGACATGGGGAAAAGGTGTGGCTAGGGTTAGACAATTCAAGAGTGGATTGAAATGAATCATAAGCTAGTAAACAAACGGAAGGGTTCGAGCGTGATGGAGTGGTTGATATTGAAAGAACTGGGATTATAATTTGTTAACAAGGTAGAAACTAGACGGTGCAGAAAACTTGCCGAGGAATCTATCAATAACCATGAACTTGTCCAATCTTCAGCGAAATTTAACCACAAAATACCACGTTCGCCGCCACAAAATATGCAATATATGCAACATTTGGAAAAAAATAATCAAAATGGCAATTTGATCGGTTCGGCTAATGCAACACAGGAAAAAGTAGAGGGGCAACTGTGATAGGTAGGCTATACCGTGGTAAGTCCATACATATCATGGGATAAAATCGGGATGCAATAATGGATGCAATAATAACTTCCATTAATTCAAATCAGCCATCGATATTTTATTACCAGTGCTGTATAGGATATTTCCGAAGTAATAGGAACATGTTTCAAGCCAAAGAAAGATTATCGTAATATGTTTGTTTCGACGGAACATATATTGAAGCAATGAAGCGGTGAGCAAAAAACTGAAGCATTCAATACAGTAGTCAACGGGACGATAATCGTCAGATTTGTTAATCCTCAGTTCAATTTAGACTCCATCATGTCGATGAATCATACAAACAAGGTTTCGAATGGTGACACGAGTAATTGGAAATTTTCATCGGATCTTGGTAATGGCAGTATGGCATCCTCGTCCTTGCTTGTCGTTCAAGACTCAAGAATGGAGTACAGTACTTGACTGGACTGATAGAGGCTTGGGACATATAAGTTTCAACCCTAGACATGCAAGATATATGCAATCCTATACCGAAGACCAACGTTTAATTGGATGATAAGCAGTGAATTGTCCCTGATCTACAAACTCCGGCTCAAGATACTCATTTAGAATATCCTGCCTTTTGACCTTAATGTCAGCTGAATTTGATTTTCAAGGTTTGCATGTAGTACTTCGATAGGTAAGGTTATTCCACAAAAACGTGGAACATGCGTGCTGTTGGTATGACCTACTCTGCCTATATCCAGTGGTACAGTCAGATGAGAACGGTACCTGACATGATATATTGGCCTACCATCTCACCTTCCCCTGATCATTTTTGTAGACACAAGAATCTGTAAATGTAACAATAATGTTCAAACCATAACCTTCATGTCACCACCGAGAATCCCGAGTTTTCCAATCAAGATGAAAAGTTCCGCATATCCACAAAGCCTGGTTACGTATATTATGATCTACGAAAGCCGTTTTGCGTTTCCCTGTGCTGTTGAAGATCTCTCCGATTTGGGGGCACACAACATCAGAACGTACGCAGCCTCATATTATTAATTTGTCGTTGTTGCTGGCGTTGAACATAGGAGGTGTTAAAAAAAATAAACGATAAGAAACCCCCTTCATCTAGAAACGTCTCGGCAATTTGCTCTCGGTGAAAACAAGAAATCCTCTCTCGAAGTTCAACCCTCTACGATATTGGAAATGTCAGCAATATTAGGGTAAGCTCCTAGATTATATTGGGAGGCTTCTAAATGTTCTTGGTTATTATCAAACCACAATCCCACAATGACGACCCGACAAAAACAAACTTTTAGAAGCACGGCCTAGCCCGTGACCCCGCTATGCCCATCAAAAGTTTACTGCGTACAGGAAATTTCGAAGGACAACCACAGACATTTTCCCCCTCATTAAATAAGACCTGCTAATCTATCTAATCCTTTGTAAGTGTGCGGATGAAGCTCAATTACTGAAGATAGTCTTATAACTCCATCCTGACGTACGATCCAAGACATATCTACCGCATTGTTCTATACTATGACTCTGTTCCGCTTCTTGGATATTGAACTCCTGGAGGATCTAATCTTACCTCGAGAGCTTTCCAATGGCTAACCAACGAGTCCAATGTCAAAGCTTAGGGCTCAGCGTTCTCACCGAACGAAAAACCTTATTCCTATAGCAAAATTCCCAGGAAACAGGATAGCTAGCCATTTTACCTGTGTCCAATCATTCATTCTCATCATAGCTAGACCCCAACTCGAAACACCAGGGCATTTTGTGCCGCTTCTACTGTTGGCCAACGCACCACCCGTCTTTAGCCTCCCCATCTCAAAATCTAGTCCAAGAATGATAACGTCAGAAAAGCCACTTGGCTCTCGTATCACTTATATCACGATAGCAAAGTAAGTGTTGAAGGATTATTGAGACGCGTTCTTGTCACGTCCGCTATCTTCTTTTCGATAACATCATGCAATCGCTCGCACATTAATAAATATGCATACAACCTGGTTTAACGTATCATCTACGCGTCCCAGCTTGAATTTTACTCAGGTCTGTCACTAGCAAATCCTGCACATACATAACTCCACCTCGTTTGATCATGACTAGACTGAGGTATATAATCCGTTCTGCAATATAACGGCACAACAAAATTTCCATACACAGCGTACGAAAAGGTGCTGGCACAAAAAAAAAGACTCCCTTGCATATGCAAGCTGCAGGCACTTATCCATTGCATATTCGCCTTCTCCTCTCCTATTTTACTGTTCACCGCTTAACTGAGAAACATCACCAATCAAGAAATACTCAATCAGATCTACTCGACTCTGTCCTACAGCATCTCATTCTGGGGATTCCCATGAAAATAATGTACTTCGTTATAATCCCTCCAGCAAACTTTATGAATGTACCTGCCTAGTGGTCGCTACCTATACATTTGCACTCACATACATAAAATACCTATATAAATACTAAAAATACCTTCTACTAATTCTTTATTGAAAATCAAAATTGGATTCAGCGCTTCCGGTTATCGGATTTTGGATAAACTTAAGCTCAAAACTCAAAATTTGCAAGCTTCCAATTTTGTCAAAATCTGCAAGAGATCTAAGACCATCCCGCATCGATTAGCATATCCGCATCTACCCATTTACGCGCCGAAGCTATTCTAAGATTGGATTTTTGTGCGAAGAATATTTTCACATGATGAGAGAATGTGGGAACGAATTGATCTATTGATTTTGTTCCTCCTAGAGGCATTAATTAGATCTGCTCACCTATTCTTAGCCATATGTCTATGTCACAGAGTATGCTCTCCATACTTCCATAGACATTCTTTACATTCAATACCAACCATAACAAAATGCAAATTACATCAACTATGCTCTCTGTATATTGATCTCTTGCCCCGCTGGTTCCGATGATATGCCAACAATCAGCCAGATCTTTAATCACCGGAGATTTATTTTTCCTGCTAATATACTTTCTTAACAGTCAATGCACCCATCAATGCATCGCCCATCCAATATTCCATTTTTACAGTCACTGATGCGTCTTTCGCAATGGCATCTAGCACACTAGCTGGCAAATTCACACTTTCCCCAATCTCCGGGTTTGTTCGCCAGATTTGGTGATCCTTGAGAATTTATAGAGTGAGGCATTGTGCAAGGCATTTTATATTCGAACTTCTCATATCTTCTAAAAGTCTCACGCCTTCTGATAAGTAGAACTTCTTATATTTCACCATCACTTGAAGTTCCGTCACCCTGCATGCATCTCTTGCATTCACATTCGCATTCAGACCCAACGCAAGCATGCCAAGTTCCCTTCCAGCTTCCAAAGTCTTAACTTAACTCACAGACGATATTCGCACATATTGCAGCGACTCCACCGTGAATCCATGGTCATGGGGACGAAAATATTCCGATAGTATATCCATGTTCTATACGAAATAGAATCGGTATCAACGAGAACGATATTCCAGGTGTGGAGATATCTCTACGGAGGTATATGCCCTCCGTATATTCAAATAAGGCATATTTCCGCACTTATAGTTATTAGCAACTCTCCACCATCTGTTCCGTGGTAGATCATCGGATCAGATTAATATCATTAATATGGATATCATGATTCGATATCATGATTTGATGTCATGACATGCTCCACTATGTGAGTTGCATGATGAAATATGTACCAGTGTACATATCACTCGCATGGGACTATGAATATGACCAGGCTCTTTCCCACCATTTGAAACTCCGATGTGGAGTCCTCACTTTATGGGATCGTCCGTAGGGATTACAAATGGTGACTCGTGAGAGCGGAAAATTTCATGCTTCGGTGAAATTAAGCCAAGCCTCTAGAGATATCAATTCGATGTGTTAAGGGCGTTCTTCGTTCAGTGCTCAAGACATTTGAACAAACTTCATTTGGAGAATACATGTTAGTTCGCTTGTTTTCTCCTTTTCTGCTATGGGAAATGAAAGTTCGATGTTACTTGGAATGACCTGCAGCCACGCATAGCCCTTGTCTGCCAACGACTTTGAAGCCTTCCTGGTGTTGGCTAATGAGTTCTAGAATACCGTGATGATTTCTCAGCAAGAAATACTCCTGTTCAGCGTTTAAAAAATCCTTCCTCTCCTCATCATCTCTTCTCCTGAGGCTCTGGAGAAACTACTAAATTTTGACGATTTTGAAAAGACTCTTAATCCGCCTAATTGTAACGATACTATACTGGAGGCAGCGGCTGCCTAAGGTTTCGTCTGGTTGGTAGTTGTGGGTTAAGGCTTTATCACTGGTCTTCACTTGGAAGTGAAGTCGTTACTAGATCAAGTAGAATGTAGGTAAACTAATTGATAACTAAGTTGAGCACGAAGCTCCTTAACCACGAGACTAAATGAATGTTTATATACCCTATATCATCTTTTGAGGACCCTTGGGACCCTAAGGTCCAAAAGGTCCTCGAGGTCACGTGAATTAATGAATCGTGACACTAATCCTCAGAAACGTCGCATTTATCCTATTCTTTTTAGCAAAATACAATAGCTTTCATATATAGAAAGCAATTGTCAACAAAATCTAAACAATAAGCAATTAGAAAGGGTTTTTAAAAATAATCTTCTTTCCCCTTCTATCCTAAATCATAAAAATCCTATATATCCTGATTAGCTTCCATTTAAGTCTAGTACCCTACTTTCCGGCCACCCCTAATTCCGGCCACTTTTCCTCACCAATGACGAAAATCGACTTTTATAACTTTTTTATTTATAAATATAATTCTTTGAAATTTTAATTATAAATTTGTTATTTATATAATAATATATTCTGAAAATTTCAGATTTTTTATGATTTTATTAATTGAGAAATTGAAAGTTGAAATTGCGATTTTTAATTTGTATAGGATTTATTATAACGATACTGTACTGGAGGCAGCGGCTGCCTAAGGTTTCGTCTGGTTGGTAGTTATGGGTTAAGGCTTTATCACTGGTATTCACTTGAAAGTGAATTCATTACTAGATCAAGTAGAATGTAGGTAAACTAATTGATAACTAAGTTGAGCACGAAGCTCCTAAACTATGAAACTACTCTGACTATATAATGAACGATAAAGGGAGCCCCTGGGAGCTTTCTGGCTCCTCAGGGCTCCTTATCACGTGATTTCTGATGGTGCGTGCGCATACGATCTTCAGGTGACCAAGATCACATACTAATTCGATGAAATCTGATCGTGTTTGCACAAGGCCTAAGCTCTCCTAATTAATCAGTTTGCTACCATCGTAACACCATCAATCCTAATGGTGAATCGTGACACTATTCTAACTATATAATGAACGATAGAGGGAGCCTCCAGGAGCTTTCTGGCTCCTTATCACGTTATTCCTTTTTATCCCAGGACACTAATCCTAATGGTGAATCGTGACATTTATATACAAATTTGAAAATCTTGAAAATCCTTAATAACTTTTCAACAAAAATTAATAAAAATAAATTATAAATCCTATATAAATCAAAAATAAAAAAGTTTAAGATTGTAGATCTCAATAAAATGAATTCTAAAAACTCTGAAATTTTCAGAATTGATTCATAATTGTGACGGAAATCCCTGCTCTCCTCCCACCCTTATTATATAAGAAACCTCAGGTACATTAACCATGTCCACACATGATACGATTACTCGAGATTAGTATACGATTTAGGTGACCTGAGGATCAGATCCGGACAAGTACTAGGTATCAATGGTTATCGGTAAAGTAAGATCATTGGAGGAATAAATATGACTTCTTTTTGCCTAGCCATTGCGGCTAGGCCATTCATTTGTGTATATATAGAGTAGCTATCCCCATCTACAGGTGCTCTTCACCTGTAGATTCTAAGTTAAATACAATTGCTGGTCTATAAACACCCTTTTGGTCACAATAATTATATAATAAAATCATGATTTAAATTATAACAAATTATATTTATTGATTGTAAAGTTATTAATAAATAAAAATCACAATTTTTGGCGTAAAAGGTGGCCGGAAAGTAGGGTACTAGACTTATCCTTAAATCGCCTATCTTCAAACTGAAGAAAACCTTCCTCTTCTGTAATATAGGAGAGGAGGGGAGCATTCAGACGCTGCTTTTGTTTTATTGAAATGTTAGGGCTCTAGACCATGGTGAACTTGAGCGTTTTCTAGGAATGCTCGAACTGCTTTCTTGTCCCGATTGAAGAAGCATACCCACCGATGGACCCAAAATATCATGACCAAGTATTTTCCCAGAAAGCTCTGGAAAGATGGTCGTGCTACCTTAACACTTCTCTCTTGCATTTCCTGGACATGAAGACGTATAATCATAGCTAGTTGGGATACTTCCGACATAATGCGGGCTTTGGGGAAATTCAATGCATCCATCAATGAGTGTGAAAGTTTCTTGGTGGTTCAAGTTTCTATCTAATCTAAATTCTATCGAATTAAAACTTAATAAATGAAGAGTTAACATGTCCAGGATTGAATGTAGATCACCTTTCTCAATCTTCTGGACAACTAATTCAGATACCACAAAACTCCAAATAGCTGAGGTTATAGTGACGCAGGAGCTCCCAGGAAATGGCGAGCTGAGATCCATTTAAAAGAATATCCGTCACGAAGATATCGTATTTCCATCCCAAATCAGTACAAACAAAGCACCCTCAGCGAAATTCTCTTCTGGCGGTTTCCAGTTCCACTAAATCTTCCGTTAAATCTTCATGTGTGGTGATGTGATGCCTGTCGTTTAGAATCTGGCGTACGTTTTCTGAGCCGGTGACTAAGACAATTCTGCAGCGATTAGGTTGAAGTGGACTGAAGCATTGAATCCATAGCTCAGATTAACAGTATTGAGAGGGTATTAACAATGATGGGAGTCTTGTGGAGCTTTCATATGTCATAAAAGAAATTAATTTGCTTTCAGCATGACAAAAGCGACTGCAAGGCCCCTTGACACAAGAGATAAAATACTAGATGGAAACTAGCCATGACCAAGACGGCAAAGATAGAACATACGAGGCTACTAGGAAGACATTGGGGGAGGAGGTGCTGCTAGAGAAGATTCTTAGACCTCTTCTGTGGGTGTATTCTGGGGACTACATGCACGAGGAATCATGTTTCTAAGTTTGGGTATAAGGTGCAATAAGACTCTGTGGGTTTTCATACTCGATCGCTGATAAATAGAGGGGTTGGGTTTTTCTTTTATTATACAAAGTGTAAAGTACAATTGTCTATATTATTAATAATTGAAGAGAGGTTTTAATCAATATTGTTATTATTAAAACAAAACTTAATAGAATTTTGAAAATTAATACACCTTATAATATATATAAAGATTTAAAAGAGAGTTCTCTTTCTTAAACAAATTTCAAATATAATTAAAAATATACCTATTGAGTTTTCTAGTTCTGTAATAAAATACTAATTAAATAGAAAGCCTCTAGTTTCAATCATATTTGCTTTACCAATTCTTTCGACGCTCCATTTGTAGAAACGGACGGGAGTAGAACGCTTTTGCGCATATATAGTAAACAGGCCGCATACTATCCTTCAAAATGTCTCATTTTTACAGACTACCTAGTAGCTATTGACCACTTGTATCACCCATATGATTCTCATCACTTGTATGATTCTCTAAACAGAATATCCGTTCTTGCATATTGGATCATGGCACAGCCGCCAAGTTAGCGAGTGCATATATGCTCAGGAACAAAATATGATTTGGTATATCTTGCGGCGCGTGCGGCGCGATCAACGTTATATTACCTCAACTTATCACTGAGTCTTGCGTTTAATCATGCGATAGATGCCCGTAGTTCAGCCACCAGCATGTCTGTCAGAGGCCCCAAGTAACTGTGCGAGAACCAATAGAAATATTCACATCGCTGTGGATTCTATTTGGCAATTCAAAATCTCTGTACAACAGGTCGAAGGAGTAGACTTGATGGCTCAATATGACAAGTGTTTATTGTGTTTTGTCCCTGACACAGAGTCTGTCACTTGAGAAAGTTTGGAGGCAATCTACACGCGGCAAATATGCGATTCATAGATAGCAAAAAGCAAATATGCGACCAGTCCAATCATGCAGGCTAACACTGCAGTATCTACCCCAAAACACTCCATCAAACGTTTTTCTTCTTCTCCAGGTGATGTGCAACATAATAGTCCACGGCTCTTAGAATTCCTTCTTGCATAGAGACTAGGGGTCTGTATCCTAATCTCTGTTTTGCTTTGGAAATATCAAAGGTCCGAGTCAGTGTAAGATACTTGATCATGCGCCGATTAATCATTGGCTCCTTGCGACCAAAACTGAACAACCCAACTGTGCATTCTACAATAACGGTAAATACATAGTAGACAGATGCTGGAACAACCCATACTTTTTCTTTGTTGACCGGATGACCGGCTGCAGCACTAACAGCTCTTGTAAATTCCCAAAATGGCCATGGGTTGTCGTTCGTAATGACAAAAGCTTCGCCATTGACCTTCATATCATCTGGAAAAGGCTCAGTAGCGTCGAATTCTCGAAGAAGTGCCTTTCTTGCTAGCAGATGCGCATAAGCTGTATTTCCGATGTATGTAAAATCATAAAGATTGGTGCCGTCTCCAACCTGGAATTTTGCACGTCCGGCTCGAGCATTCTCGACCATTTTAGGTGCAGATGTTGTATCACTCTCGCCAAAGAGCAAAGCAGCACGAATAATTGCACTGTAGAGCTCGCCTTTCTTGTTTGCACTGACGATGAGTTGCTCAGCTACAGCTTTGGTGTGCGTGTAATATTCAGTTTTCTCGGGCTCAAAGCATAAAGGATGATATTCTGTGGCCCTGACAAGATTGGTCATGTTGTGGTGGATTACGGAGGAACTGAATGTGTAGATGAGAGCGGCCGTGACTCCGACTTCTTTGATACACGAAAGAAGTATGGATGTACCGTTGATGTTGACGTCGGTGAAAAGCTGGCGTGTTTGCTTGAATTATCAACTTTGGTGAGGCTGTATGAATAATAATGCGAGGTTTGGTTTCTTGAAGTGTTTGTAGAACATGTTGCGTGATGTGAGGCTACCCTCAATGTACTTGACACCATCAACTCGATTGCTTTGAGTGCTGACATCGAAGCCTGCAATATCGGACAACTCAGGGTCTTCAAACGACTGTTTGACAATGTGATGACCAAGACTACCACATCCACCGATCACAAGCACGGAGTTGTTATGAGGCGAAGACATGATGATGGAAGATGTTGGAAGCTCTTGAACGATACTGCCAAGAATCAAAGTGGTGGACGGTGTGTTAAGTTTTGATGCTGAATAAAAAGAAGATCAAGGAAGTTTGATGTGCATGTAGGTAAGTTACAGAAGACCTAGGAGGACTGTCTGCTTGTCGAGGATTGTGGCGTTTATCAAGTGGTGCGATCTAATTTATTTCCAACGATAGATTCATTAGATATTTGTTATATTTTATAAGTAAATGATATATTTATAAAATATAAAACATTTAAATATACTTCAAGTATTTCAAGCATTTTTAATAAAAAGATAATTATTAATAATATAATAAATAATAAAAAATTAAAAAATATATATAAAATTGTTACGAGGGTTGCCGTCTAGATCACGTGGAAGTGCTCTAGGTTCTCGAGGTGGTTTATAACTAGGCGTCAAGCAGGGACTTAAAGTAATGACAATAATGATATGCAATTCGTAACTAATAGTAGAGTATACTAAATGATTGATCTTGAGCACGAAGCTCTATACAAAGGAAATCCATCTTGATTATATAGACCTTCGTGCCTTGTTAAAAACCGATGGTTACAAACCCGACAATTCGATTGTGACGCCTCACACCTCCGGGTCACGTGGCATGCCCCGTTTGTATTTAATCATAGGAAAACTCTCTACTCTTGTTTTCCTTCTTCTTTTCTCCTTAGCTTAGTATTTTCTAATACAAGATACTTTACCCAGTATTCTTGAGTGTGACATCGATCACCGCAAAACCGATCTCGATTTGTCGGTTTCTTGATCATATGATCAAGAATGTGACCTATGTTACTGTCCGACGTAACAAAAATATAAATATTTTTATTAGAATTAAAAATCAATATTATATTTATTAAAAGTTTAATTTATCTAATAAAACTAAATAAAATATTATAAAAATTTAAACGAATTTTTTATATTATAAAAATAAAATAAAAACACAAAAAAATATTATAAATATTTAATATAGTATATAAAAAAACATTTTTACATTTATAAATTCAACGTCTAGTTCTTGAATAACAAGAACCACATTTATAAAAAATAATAAACAATCTATATATTTAAAAAGTAGAAATATAAAACCCGCGATCTAGTACCATTCTCCTAGTATTGGCCGTAACTTTAGAATTACGAAAAAAAAAAAAAAAACAAGTTAACTAAACACCCGTTGGAACTCACGTTTCAAATTTCCACAATTTATTAATTCTTAATCGATCTCAATACATGCTCCAAACTAAATATACAACATATATAACCGCAGAGAATCCGACGACAAGTATAGGATTACCCAACTTCATGTTTAAAGGATTGATTGATTGATAGTATATGCCAAAATCGAGTTATATAATTGATGAAGGAAAATATATAAAAATTAAACGAGAGTCTACGATTAATCAAAAAAAAAATAAAAATAAAAATAAATTTGAATATAAAGTATTTTATAGTTACTAGATAATACAATTGAGAAGTAGCATTGTTATGGTAAGCGAGGGATACCAGCTAATCTTATATTAACTTGATCTTTTGATTTCAAAAATCATATCCTCTTTAATCTGGTGATTTGGTCTTAGTGTTCAGATGCGAACGAGGAGATATCCTACCTCAGCCAGCTTATCAATACTCTACGAGATAAATCTCTGATGATTTCTTTTTTTGCCTAGACTTTCTCAATCTAATCTTCAAGCCCGTCTGGTCATAATCCATATACAACAAGCCTACGAATACCTCAACTCAATAGTAATAACAAAAAAATAGATAAAATGTAAACTATAAAGTCGCACTCCAGATTCCCAACATAGTAAGCTAATCGAGCCACCTACCGAGTATCTTCAACTACAAACCCCCCCTTTCACCTTGCACTCACCATTATTTCCCCCCACAAACAAGTGCACTGAAGAACCGAAATACTACTTGAATTGATGACCTACAGGTACTTCCTGGTAAATGAAACACTCCATAATGATAAACGAAAAACCATACTACTGATTTTCTATTTGATTGATTATTAACTCTGCCCCAACTTCCGACAATCTATAGATTTTTCATAGTTTTGATACAACAACATCACTACCCTATAAACAAGAAATGTAAGACTTATATAGAAGAATTATAATCTTACTTTCACCCCCCTTGAATGAATGAATTCAACAACGGCTTGTAAAAACTGATTAAAAAAGGGTAGATAGTTTTTTAGACGAGTTCTATAACCTAGGTAGTTTTCTAGAGCTCCTCGCTTGAGGAGCTACTCGATTGCACTTGAGCAATTTCTTAGCTGTGGTATTTGTTTTGAACTAGTATGATATTCTGAATGAAAATTCGATGATGTCATTGAAAATATGAAGTTAAAGTAAGGTTACAGGCACCACGAGTATGTAACATCAACGAAAGAACAGAAGGTATTTACAGGTAGAAAGACTGTTGAGTAATAGGCGAGAAAAGATGGTAGGATAAACGTTATTGTTATGAGCGTGTTGGCTGTGGTATCAAGAGTTTCTAGGTCGATAATAGCCACATAAAAATATCCTATGTAAAGGGGATGGTTCTGCCCCTATATGTCAAATTGTCATCCAATCTAACCCTCGCAAGGTATTTCGTATATCCGGAACCAAATTTAGAAGGTCGTTTCATACACCAATCAGTTCATTCCGCCTCCTAATCCGTGCTCAACCTCCATAATCCATCTCCCAAATAATGCGCATCCTCCACCACGGGCCCCTTTCCCTTCTCCTTAACATCTTTCGTACCCATACTCAAGAGTCCAACCGCACAAGCTTCCTCCTTGCCTTCTGCACAAACAACCACTGGTTCACCAGTTTCTAATTCTCTTCCTCCATACCATCCCTCTCCTTCTCCAGTTTCCCCATATACACCCTCTTCTTCTGTATTACCATTAGGTAATCTGCCGCCTGTAGATGTGAGACCTGGGGCCATGAGGGTAGCTCCCGAGAGAACAAATCGAATGGCGCCGCGATCGATACGAATGCTAGGGAAGCAGGTTGGGAATCGGTGGACAAGTTTTAGATGGGGAAGGAGAGCATCGGTCATATGTTGGAAGAATAAGGGTGTGCTGCCAATTAGGTAGAGGGTTACTCTATCTGGACTGTATTTTGGATGTCAGTAAGGATTTCCAGATATTGATCTGCAACCTCCAGAATGTGGCAAAGAAGATGTAAGATCGAGAAGGGTAAAGGCGCACATTTTCATAGCATCCAGCTGCTCTTTCTTTGGTATTATCTCATCGATATGAGGAGCCAGTAACGGATATGTAGTGACAAGTTGGGTTCTTATGGCGCGTTGAACAGAGGACTTAACCTTGCTCTTTGACCCGGGGGAAATACTGCGCGAAAGATACAATTAGTATTTTAAGATTCTTGACTTTTTCTCAACAAAGTCAATCTATCTTACTCTTTCTTAAACATCTTGAATTTGAAACTGGTAGTATTGTGGTGTTTGTGAGGAAGGGGAGAATTGTTTAAGATGTGTATGTGGAGAATGTGCCCCGCGATACGGATAGCTTTTGGGACCAATAACGCACGGACGCAAGAGCACTGGTGGAGGAGGGGTAATGTTCAAAATAGGACGATCAAATAGGAGGTTATTCAGACATCAAGCAAGCTTGCTATGATATTCAGCCATGGTTCCAGTCTCAGCAGATTTATATATTGTCATAGATATTCATTAAATTTCATCAAATAATACACCTTCGAAAACTCCAGAAGCTCTATTCCCATCATAACCCTTTTCCCTTTCTACTGATGGTTGACGTGAGAAACAGTTCCATCTTCGTTGAGATGAATGTTGAGTCTGAATTTAATTTGATGGTTAGTATTTCGAGATTTAAATGCTAGATGACATGGGCGCTAACCTGTTCTCCTTGAAATCCTTTGTAACCATCGAACCAGGCTCAATGATTCTATGCTCTTCAGGAAGATCTTGCTTTGCGAAAGTCTATCGATGAAGTGTTAGTAGAGTATATATATACTGAGTCAATAGTACTTGACTAAAGTTATTAATCAACATACAGTCTCATTACTAACTTCACCGATTTTCTTCCCAGCCAACTTGCTCATCCACTGTTGGTTCTTATCATCGCCACCGGCTGCACTGTTGGTGATTGGATCGACGAGAGGCATATTGAGATATGGATTGGAGGAAAAGTGTTTGATTTGTGATATTGGTAATTTTGGTTGGATATTTCTTCTAAGATGAGATTGAAAGTATTTGATAGAGATCATAAACAGAAAAGCAGAAAGCAGAGAGCAGAAATCCGAGGATCTTTATGCTTGAACTACTAAGCCACCAGGAAGCCTTCTTCTTGTAACACCTCCCCAAACAAGGCTGCGCTTCGTCTCACCTGCTGAATGCAGACAACTACGTCATAGCCAAGGCATCATGTGATTAAATCAGCCCGTGACCACAGCTTTCAACTAAAGTTTTTCCCGAACTTCTATTCATTAATATTCTCATCGACAAAAGCACTATGTTTATGTTTATTGAATGTATTCTATTTATACATGTTCTATATTTTTCTCACACTCTACTGTTGTGCAAGGTTATGCTGAACTGTAACTCTGCACAACAATTCATTTTATCGCACCATAACGGTTAAGGAAGGTTATGTTGCTCACTCTAGAAGTAGGAGCAGTCGGCGCATTTTTCCTGTGAACCGAACTAACGCTGCGGCCCGACAGAGCAGATGACCATTTCTACATCAATCATCACTTATCACCTTGCGACTTGTTAGGAACGCATTGAAGTTTCCCTTTATCACAGCCACACAATGCCTCTCGGGTGCCTGCCTGAATCTGTCTTAATGGTCTGTTCGCTAACTCGGCACCGAATGCGCGACCATGTGGAGCAGAGTTATATCCACTATACCACAATTACGCTGCCCTCTACGCGTCCTCTTCAACGTTCATCCATTTTTTGAAGTCTTTCAATTTCAAAATAGCACTAGTGCAACGAGTAGGATCACTCTGGATTAATTGCGGCTACACTGTACATAGTTGTACAGTTGTAGCTGCAAAAGGAAAAGGGGCGCGCGCATCATTAGCCTCAAGATCTTTCGAACATGCCAGAGTCTCGTACTACTGTAACACTAGCACGAACCGCCCGAACACAGTTCTTAGTGTTACCTCGGACAGCCTTAAACATTTATCTTCAATATTTGCAGCAAACATTTCATACATGAGTAGCTCCGAAAGCTTACTTACAAGGCTGATCCCTTAGTCTTAAACTCGACGTTTAATTTGTTCCACGTTGACTAGTGGACTAGTAGGGAAAAATGCTACGCCTCCCTCAATATCACGGCAGCCCCACGAGGGGAAGGTTGAAGTTACGCCTCTGAGCTTAAAATAATTTCACGATATTCGTAGGGTAATTAATCATTTACTGCTCAGCATTTACTCGACTATGCAACGTGCCGAGCATTTTTTTTATACGCTTATCTATTGCTTGTATCCCCCATTATCTTTTTCTTCACTTTAATTTAGCTGACAAAATTCCCAGTCAGTCTTTTCTTTTCTAGTCTTGACTTAACATCTTTTGAGAAGTCCCCCTGAAATCTGCCTCATAAGTGCCCAGCAAAGTTCTTCCACCATATTTCGACAATATTCAATATGCTTCCAATTCTATTCTCTTTCTTGGCGTCTTCAGCAGCAGTTGTTTTCGCCCATGACTCCCTGAGATCACATGGATGTATACAAGGGAATTTCCATGATCTTATGATCAGAGATTCCTGTGGAGATGATATGTCAATTGCCAAATGTCTCGCAGAAGACGTTGATTTAAGACACCTGGATCAAATTGAGCAATGTTTTATAGCTGGCGGATGCGATGCGATTGATTCCACTGTATCGGCGGTATGGTTTTCATATGAATGTAATGATCACCAGGGATCGGTTGAGGAGGTTATGAAGGAAGATTTACGCAAGCGAGCCACCGAAAGCAGCTCGACTTCAGAAAGCACTACAGAATCTACAACAACGGCTTCAAGTTCGACTTTGAGTTCTGCCAGTACAACTGCAGCCACAACCACGATCTCTGCTTCCACAAGCGCTTCAGCTTCAACCTCATCCTCGACTTCAGCAGCCTCATCCACAACCACTACGACTTCATCATCTACAACTACAAGCGCCTCTGCTTCTACTACCACAAGTACGACTTCGTCTACATCAGGCACAACTACTAGTGCGACGAGTAGCGGGACTGGGACTTCCACAAGCTCCCTTGCCTGCTCCACAACATCCTATTATTCTACGAGCGTATGCTCATATGGAAGTGGAGCATCCACAGGTGTGACTCTTGGATGCGTCACTACATCACTCGCTTCCTCAACTTGTGCATCCGGAGTTCTGTGTACGACTGCAGCCTCTGGAGACGATATATGCATGGAAATCGACAATGATCTTACCACATCTGGTTTGGCAGTCACAATATTTTTCGCAGTTAGCATTAGCGCATTTCTCATTGGACTTTTGATAATTGGATGCAAAGATCGTCGAGCCGCCAAGAAGCTCCAAGCTGAGCGTGTAGCGCTCCTTGATGCAGAGAGTAAGGAGGCAATGCAGCCACATAATCAAAAGAGATCTAAGTCAGTCGCACAGCCAGATGCCTTTGGACACTCAGAAGCGGACTTGCCTTTGATTATTGAGCCCAGTCATTAGTAGAATTTTCCGAATGAGTCGCCCTAAAACGCTCCACATGAGGCTTGAGTTAGCTTCGAAAATTCTGAAGTAATAGGATGGGTCTTAAAGACGCACGAAACTGGAGTTCAAGGATTTTTGTTCTGGAATGGTTGTGAGGATTTGTAGTTTTATATGCTTCTGGAGTTGATAAATTTATACCCTGGCTTTTTATTTGCCTTGTCTATTTTTATGCTTGCGTAACAATTATACCCTTTGCTTGTTTGTTCTTCAATATATTATGACGGTGTGTGATGTCGAAGTAGAGATACGAGATCATTTATTTTGTCTGACCTCATCAACTACTAGTGTATCTGCATTTAGAGTTAATTCAGTCGATAATGGGCGTCTGCGAAATCGCCCTGATGTGAGTTTACATTATTTGGAACCCGGGTGGCTCGCGCCGGATTTGCTTTGAAGATAATCTGGATTTGACGAAGATCAAGTGAGTCTTATATGATGAAAGTTTTCCCGTCTTATAGACTGGAGGCTCTATCATCCTGATTCATGACACTGACGTGGTTTTGAAATACTCTCTTTTATGCTTTGGCGATATTATGAGATCTATTACAAATATGACATTTCGTTCGTTGACTCTTAAGTTGCGTATTGATGAGTCTTGTCGGACAAATAAGGCTATGGGATAAGCTGACCTTAATTCCATCCCTTTTTTTTGGTCTTCTGAAAGGGTATCTAGTCCATATACACAGAATATTCCCTCCCATTTCAGATATCATGTCGAAGACAAGAATGAATACTCGTTATATAAGTTTGTAAATATCTTAGAAGAATTATATAATATGTCTCCAATACAGATTTCACTAGATATTTTTATATGTAGGTATGTGACGAATAACTATATATAAACATCGAAAGCTTCACAACAAATCTCTAAAAACTATTAACATTATCAGCCAAACTCATGGGTCTAGACTCCCAATGGGCGAATGCTTCTTCTACTCGGTTCTCATCATACTGATCTCCCGACTACTTGATATCCGTTCTTCAAGAAAAACTACTACCTTTCTCATCATATTCACTTCTGTACTCTTGCCATACTGGATTTTTGTTACCTAATTTTCTTTTGTGTCGATGCATTTTCCTGTTATTGATTTTTAATTAAGATATCAGATGAAATGATCAGTTTCATTATTTCACACCTGCAGAAAACACCGCTTCCAAAATAATGATAAATGAATATCATTCAGTGCAGAACGAACTCGTGAATCTTTTTCACGATTTGATTATAGTGTGAAGATCTTGCACTGGAAAGAATACTGCTGGCTGTTTCGGGTCTTTTATATGCTGGTGGTGCGGGGGAACTATAGATTGCAAGGGAAATGCGGGGTGTAAGAAGTAATGCGTGATTTTGTTATTATGTATTATAGATTCTGTTTTCTTGATATGGAATACATCGTGCCCGAGATGGAATCTACTTCTGTTGACTAGTCGCCATTATTCCCTGTATAAATGTTGGAGAAGAAGCCAAATCACATGTGCAACTCCAACACAATGGACATCAGAAAATACAGGATTACTGTTGCGCGGGTTCTTCGATGTCAATCCTAGGATTTCTCTATTTTATTAATAGCCTCGAGTATTGTGAGTAAATATGGCAGGTGGTGTAAATGAGTTTATGTTGTTGTTTTGCTCGCTTTTTTTACCGCGTGATCTGCTTTCTATTCTATTATCGTCTACATGTTACGCCGGGTAACAAGAAAACGCTCACGTGCTACCAATATCATGTAACTGGCTCAGTGAGGATCAGCAAGCTCAGTACTGAGCCATACTGATCCTACTGATCAGCTAGAACACGAAGGTCTATATAATCAAGATGGATTCCCTTTGTATAGAGCTTCGTGCTCAAGATCAATCATTTAGTATACTCTACTATTAGTTACGAATTGCATTATTGTCATTACTTAAGTCCCTGCTTGACGCCTAGTTATAAACCACTTCGAGAGCCTAGAGTACTTCCACGTGATCTAGACGGCAAACCTCGTAACACTTACCGTCACGGAGGAAGTAATGGTAGATGGATTTTAAAATAAATATAACAATATGCAACTAAAAGTCCAAGTGATATTTCATAGTCAAGTATACAGGAAACCATTGAACAGGTAAATATTATAATATCCGCAGATTATCACCATAATATCTTTTTCTTCAGTTGCATACTTGAGTCTACCTTGTTCGAGGTGAAAAATATTCTGGTTTTATATCTCTGTGTGTTTGTTTTCGGTATCTTATTAGCATTATTGTGGGACGTTGAATTTTTAGGTGGTTTTAAGTGGATTATTAGTGATTAGGGAGATTCATTCTTGGTGAGCTGTATGATTGGTATAAAAGTAGGGATATCTATATCGAAGTTTTTTCGACTTCTCTGTAGTGATTAGGAATCACTTCGTAAAACCTCAATCATGGAAGAAAGCGCTGCGAAATTCCGATGCAAGCTATAAGTTGCAAGTATGGTGGGAACATCTGTCCCGGGGGTTTAAGAGTTAGGTAAAGCAGATATCAATGATGGTCCCTTTTCGCCGCGATTATTGTTTTCTTCTCTAATATCATACTCTTTGCGTTTTTTTTACTATCATTATCAACTCATCTGTTCGATGAATCCTGTATTCCATTCCCTGCGGTAATTTGGGAGTTTTGAGTAAATTACCTCCTGACATACTCAGGTAAAACAAACAGATTCAAGATAAACAATGAGAACTGTAAAAACTGTGTCTTGTACTCAGCATGTCTTGAATATTTTTTTTTTTGAGTTGAACCACAGCGTTTAAGGTGTGGATATTGGGTAATTAGTGAGGGAAGTTTTATAGTTGGCTGTCTTACTTGACCATATCAGAGGGGGAACTTGGAGTGAATTTCTGATTTTAAGTTGGTGGTAATGGTTTTGAGATTCTGTGGAAATCATATATTGTTTATTTGAGTAGGGGGACAGGAGAATGATGGGAGGAGTGTTGGGATGATCCACCAAGACGTGAATGAACCTTTTATTAGTGGGTTCTGTTGATACATATTTATAAGATGAGGATCAATCTTTCCTCCAATGTATCATTTATCAACTTTCCATTATCGAACTTAACTTGAGAGTTAGGTATCCAGACAATTCTCAGCATAACCCAATGTTTTATACTAGCTTTCTTCAATTTTTTGCATCTGTTTGATATCCTTCTTTTTTATTGTCGTCGCTCTTCATTATTTGCTTTTACTATCATTTACTAGATGGATACTTTTACTGTTGTGTTATATTCGCATTATCGATACCATCATGTATGTTATTTCTCACTCATTCAACTTCACTGTAATTTCTCACATTTCTTTCCTCGCGCGATTAAAACTTATTCCGTCACAACGCTTTCTATGTGTTAATTGGCATACCTATAGCTACCTAGATGTACATCCATGGGTATTCTTGTCTTTTCCTGTCGGTTTTTTTTCGGAATCGCACATGAAGGGAAAAGTATGAGTATACTTGCGGTTTCCTTTTATATTGGCAGGTTCGTTTGGATCTTGCTTAGGGAAACATGTGGGGTTTTGGGGATTTGAGAGTGGTGGAGTTGCTGGTGTAGTAGTGCACTGTTTCCTCAGATTCATTAATCATGGTCAGCCAATGAGAGGGCAAGATGTATAAGCCTTTTTCGGAACCTGTATAAGATTTAAGAGAGCCCAGTTGTCGGCAAGTGTGAGATTGTGATATTTTAGGATGGAAATTGAGATGTTGAACATTTTCTGATGCATATTAATAATTTTGCTTTGTTTTTATTAATATATTTGTTACATACCGTTCTTTTTATTTTTTTAAGCTGCCTCTAATCTGGCGCTCTGCTTAATATCGATTTTTAGTTTAGGATTGAAATATCGAAAGGAGTACTCATGAGGCGGATTTCAAATGTTAACAAGAGAAAAACGAAGATACACTTGTATCCAAGTAACCGAACAAATGCCACAAAATCAATTTTTTGGTAATGCTTCTAAATTACCTGTATTTTGTTATCTGGATAAATCAACTTCTGCCCATGACACTGGGTATGTTTTCCACCAGGGACGCGAGCCTTCCTGGCGAAGAGTGCAAATATGGGGAATTTGAATATAGAGGTTTAGTGTTAGCATGGAGGTAGTGGAGCAAGTGTAAAACATAAAACTTCAGATTTACAGAGTTCATGAAAGGCTACGGACGGCTTGGCGGGTGAATGGATGCTAGTACGAGATAAACATGACTACTCGCTAGCGGAAAAAGTTAAGAGCCTAACACGTGAGACTGCGTTACTATAGTTCTTTCTTCATAAAAATTTGTTTCGCTTCTATTATAAAACATACATCCTTAAAACTTCTGGCTTACTTCGCCGTTCTCTTTCTTCACGTGGAGACTAGACAGTAGTATACACTTGAGCGGTGACATTCTTAAGCACCAACGTGAGTAGAAATGAAGCACTGATTTTAATATCTATTGACTCCGACTCTTAGGTAACTAATTGTACATACAATAATGTCAAGACATTGAACAACTCACATACTGTTGATCCGAATTTTTCATAAGTAAGGTACATTAGGGTGTTAACCATGCGTCAAGTGGCACTAGAAGATATTATGTGTGGCATATATGCTGATTTCCGGGGAAGTGCCGTCGTTGAGGCCGGATTAGGTAGGAACGTTAGCCGTGATTCCATGGCCCACGGATTTAACAGACTACAGCCTTGCGTTCAAGTTAGCCAGGGACGTTTGGGGAAAGACAGCCTGGCTACATGCATGTCGTATGCTGCAAATTCCCGTTGAAGCACGCCACGTGCAATGTAGTCTAAAGTTAGCAGGCGAAAAATTCAAGAACTGCCCAACGAATTGAGTGTAAGGTTAATGGATTGCAATCTAGCACGCTGGATGTTACACCTCGGCAACAACTATTTAGAAACAAAACTTAAGTGCGCAACAAATAGACTCTGGTACAAGAAATGCATGGAGTGGTTAACATTTTCTTTTCATATTTCACAACATATCGCGGCTAAACACATATTGGTGGATGAATTAGCATATTGGACTAGACGGGAGACAGGCATAGCTTATCCTTCACTTTATTGTGTCACGGCTAACGAATCTATCTACCATCCTAACAGACAGATTACTAAGACACTGCTCTAAATATTCCTCTTAAACGCGCAGCAAATTGGTTATCCCCATCGCTAGTTATTTCCATCTCTTTTAGAATTCTTGTCTAGAGAAAATGGCAGGCCAAATCCCAGTTCAAATCCATGTACAAAGGACTCCATCTCAGCCACCATACCAATATACTCAAGCACCTCGAAGCCTCTCCCCACCGGTAAACCAGGAGTAGAAATGGATTTTATAAGAGAGCAAGATTTCAACTATGAGGATGAGTGCGAAGCTCAGAACTTCCTTCATACTGGGAAAATCGCTATTTGAAAAGTCTTCTGCGTCGGGCAATTTGGAGTCTAACCATGATCCAGATACGTCTTCCATATTTGAGAAAAATAAAAGTCTTCATTGGTGGAAGCCAATCGTCTGGATGGCTATTTTGTTATTGCTAGGCGTTGTGGTGGGCCTTGGCCATCATTTTGCGTATCAAAATCTCGACCAACAACCGCATTATATCATATCTCAAACATGGGTACACAACCTTGGCTCCGCAGCTGCCTTTTTGGTGAAGACTTCCTTCACACTCACTGTCATGTTGGCCCTACAAGAGGTATTATGGTTTAGTTTCCGCAAAAAGGCAATTAAAATATCGCTACTGGACAAGTTATTCACGCTTTCAAGCAATCCCTTCAGCTTTGTACCAAGTGTATTCATAAATGCTCCTGTAGCCACCTGTCTTGCCGGTTTTGCTTGGTTTATTCCCATATCAGCGATACTGTCTCCAGATAGCTTGGTAGTAGGACCAGTGGTTCGTTATTTCATTGATAACAAATGCATCGTACCGACTTTCGCTGCGGCTTCATCGAACATTAGCTTCTACCAGATGGTACCGGACTCGGATCTTCCCGCTATTCAAGGGTCTAATCCCGGTATTCAAAAGCTAGCAAATCAAATATTTGCTCAAGGAATAATTCTAGATCGTGGATCCCCTTATGGACTAAATTGCTCATTCCAGCTCTCCTTTCATGGTCCCGTTTTGCAATGCACACAGAACACGAACCGCGAGTATATGCATGAATCAGCTGATGGTTCGAGCTTCTACTATGCAGAAGATTTGACAAGATTTGGTGAGGATGAAAACTCATTCATGGGAATGGATTTTACGTATTACAATCACACAAAAGGGAATTATTCATGGGTTTACGTATACATGCTCTGTTCTCCTTACAACACAACCTATGACATTTCCGTCGATTACACAAACGATCTGCCAGAGTTCTATACAAATCTAACATATAACACACCACTTTTGAACTTAAACAGTACACAATCGACGTACCCTGAAAATTTTCCTTGGAGCTCGAACTCCGCAACACTAGTCAGAGAAGTGTACGACAATCATCTCAACGGCACATGAACGCAAGCTCCCAATCGATATTTTTCATCCCATGACACTATGATAGCGAACACAGTATTGGTCGGTGATACTGTTGACGCTAATAATGGCACCAGCTCATCTGTTTGGATTGTGAATCGAGATCTCTCATTACTGGTATACCTGAGCTCCTAACCAACCTCACCATCTCGAAACTTGCTATCAGTCCCCTGAGGACAACGACAAATTGTTCAGCATCTGTTATAACATTGGTATATCTGTACAATCCAAGACTACTCCTGGTTCCCTATTCCATCGCCTTTCTCTTGAGCTTCATGGCATTTATAGCTAGTGTATGTGTGCTCAAAATAACTGGCATGCGTACTGGTGGAGTATTCTCCCAAATACTGGTTACGACAAGGAACCCGTTTCTGGATGATATTACAAAGGACCATTCTCTCAGTAGTGCTGATTCGGACGTCATGAAGAACTATAAGCTTAAATTAGGCAAACTTAAACGTCGCCATGGAGGGGAGAGTGGCTTCCGTGATGGGAATAATGACGAAAGGGCTGGACACCTGGCTTTTGGGCTTGTGGAACAGGTTGATGGATTGAATTAAGATTGCCGATCGGACTGTGAAGAGTTAGGGAGATTCACTTTCGGTTCTTCGGAGATGTGTAGCGAATGTGAAGTAAGAATCTTTTCTTAACATGGAACGGTTCACACAAAAGGCACAATGATTTCTTGTTAGCTGGAATGATTTTTTTGTTATTATAGAGACTTTTGACTATATGAAGTGGACTAGATTTATTGTTTGATATTCTTCAGTGCTATTTTTACATTTATTTACGATCAACATATGTTTTTGGGTATGATCATACAGCCAATTATTGCCGAATCTTTAAACATTGTCGCTTAAATTATTGCTGTGCCGCTATCCAAGCATGTCGTCATTTCTGACTATTCTCTTAACTCATCAAAAGGCATTAAAATCTGAATCCCACTAATTCCATATCAAAGTATCATCTCTTATTCATTAGATATTTCTTACTACCTAATAAAGACATTATCCCCATTCCCTCATCTCATATATTCCGACTTCCAAAAGTTTCATTCCTGTTTATACCAGCTGGTATGCGGGTAGTCCCATTCGATGTTGATATTTATAAGAGTTTATAAGGTTAAAGGGTTCCAATAATTGTCAATATTAATAACAACACCGTCTCACCACTCTCATCTATACCTGTTATCCATTTACCTATTGCACGATCATTCTAATGAATATACTGTTGTCGTTTATATTAAGTATAAATTCATAACTGTAATTACCTAATAATTACTTGACTGTCTATTTCAGCGGAATATAATATCAAGATTCGGAGAGCAACATCATCGTGGAACTTGGAATACCAAGATTCAGACTTCTTCTCCTGTGATCATTTTGCAGCTGGTGTCTATTTTTCTGCTCGGTCCTTTTCATTACTTAACACCGCCAGGGTTCTTATAGAAGGAGAAAGTTATTTTAGTCTTGAGGAGTGATTTTTGGGTATTCAGTAGCTAGCCATAGTAAAGACATGGCGAGCCAGTAGTGAATTGTTGGTTGACAAAAGGATTTGTTGAGCACTTGAGATGCGGGGGTTAGAAGCTAGCGCTTTTCCATATGACGAGCTGTTGACCTCCTGGGATCTTGGCAGCATATGCATATATATTGCATGATGCATATAAGGAGCAAACAAAACTCAACTTTTAATTCATTCTTTCCTTTTTGGTATACTGTTTGTTTGCTTTCAATATTTTGATTTCAAAGCACTTTAATTCCGAAGGCTGAATACCTAACCTTATTCATTTTTTTGAATATATACTCGCAGCTTAACTGCTTAGCTAGAGAATCAATCAATTCAATCTGATGCTCTTTCTGGTCTCAAGAAACCCAATACGAGCCTAGTGCGGTAGCTATATAAAGCCACGGCGGAAAGGGAGATAAAAATTTGTGTTCAAGAATCCAACTAAAAATGTAACTGCTCAAGTACTGATTACTCATACTATATCCAGTACAACAAATGTTTGATTTCTCCTCTTGTGAAATATTATTTTCTGAAGCTTGCCGACCTCCCATATTTGCTACGATTTGCGGAATATGTCGCCGTTCTTCTTCTTCTCGATTGTGATCGAAGTCTAGTGGATTTTATTTTAAGCTATGTCATAATATATACTATACTTTTTATTGTCGAATGTATTGCTGGCTCTTTGGATACTTCGTTTGCGGCGACTTGCTCTATTAGATGTGTCCTTGACCTGATCTGAATGTAATGAGTTCTAAATTACTAATTAATCTTAAGAATGATCTGATTCACATCGAAGTCAATGAACTTTGGGATGTACTAGCTAGTGATGATCTCGGATAACTTATGGTTCAAGAAAATGTCAGTATAGAAAAGCAAGTCTTTGTGATTATTCTTCATCCCTATATTGACTCAAACTTTCATGTAAAATATAAAACTTAATATAGCGAATATCTCATAATATGCAGGGTTGGTGGTCTAACGAGAATATACTGAGCACATGTCAAATGTTAACCTAACCCACAAATATATATGAATGCTTCTCGATATAAGTAAAGTAAGTAGTTAAGTTATATCTCTTTCCTGTATTTATTTTTCCTTCTATCTTACATTGGGTGCTTATATACATCTTTTATAAAGTTGTGATCGTTTTGTTCAAAGGTCATAGGAGGAGCGAAATCATTTAGCGAGGGCAAGAGATAAATTTAAGGAGAGTGAATATAAAGTAAAGAGACCACTGGAAACATCCGAGAGAACTAGCAAAAAACAAATCGAACGGACAATTGGACATTGTAATTCTGCTCACTTCTAATCAAAATAATAAAATCCCTAAGAAAAATTACTTTGTTGAGATAAAAATTCTGGAGAGTAATAGGTAGGAAACATACTACTCCGGATTGTGCATTTAAGTCTTTATCATTACTTCTCCCCTTCCGTTATCACAATAATCACTCACTAAAATCCATACCGACAACAATTAACCAACCAACCAACCATCATCGTCATCATGGCGAAATAACCCCTCCATCCCGATTACAGACTCAAACTCAAACCCGAACTCAAATACGAATCCAAACAAAGCCTCAACATTTCGAACGTTACAATCCACACTAAACCATATCATAATATCGCAATATCGCAATCCAATCCACACATACCCGCCCTCTCCTTTTGGATCCCGTATAGTCAACAATAAATTCTATTCTTAAACAAAATCTTCTAATTGTATACTGCACATACCTAGATATATGAAACTGCGCTCCAAGTTCAAGACAAAGCTACACTCTCCCAATATACAGTGACTGTACACTGCTACTAACCGTAGGCCCTTTTTACACTAAAACTTACTATTTTCACTTATTTATATTAAAATAACTAAATATTATATAAAGAAATCCTTTTATATTTTTAAAAATATTTATTTAAATATTTTATGTTCTTTATTTTTATATATTTAAATTGTTAATTAATAAAGTTCTATAATTTTGAAACTTTCTTTATTTTATTGCAAAAATCGAATTAAAATTTCATGTAATCATTTTCGAACCTGATTTTATCATTTTAAAAATTTCCAAAAAAAATCTATTAAATTTTTATTATATATTCAATTCAAAGTAATTCAGTTTTTCAATTTCGATTATATCTTTATAACAATCAAAATTATTATAATCTTCTAAAATGACTGAGTTTTAATGTGAAAAGGTTATTCGGCTAGTAGCAGTGCGCTAGTACTGTAAACCACAACCTTGTTACGTGACAGTTGTTACCCCACTAGTGGCTCACGTGCACTAGCCCTGTATATAAAGACCTTCTTACTTAGAATCTTCTTAGTTCTTTAGTTTTAGATTCTAAGTAATTGAATTGACTCCGTTTACGACTTTTCCGTCACAAACCTCTCAGCTCATGCTCCTCTGCCTCTCCCTCTCCCTCTCCCTAAATATTCACAAAATGTTATTCACCACCATACCAATTACAAACCTATCTTGTAAGAAGCATGACAACAAGACAACAAGAAGAGGTTATATAAATATAAATAACCTCTCCACCTCATAATCTCAAAGAAAACCGAAAAGATTGATACACTAGAAAATCACAAAAAGACAATAACTGCTTTGTTTTTTAAAAAAAATTTCCATAGCACGGGATATCTCGGGAGATTTATCATCATGGTAGACATAGAAAGAGAGAGGGGGTTTATATATTTTGATTATAAGAGAATGATGAATATTGTTATCACTTTTTTAAATTGTTGTTTTTTCATGAGTTTTATTGGTGTTTATTATCTATTCTTCTATTAATATCACTCTCATTACCACTACCACTACCACTATAACTATAATTATCATCTCATCTGATCCACAATCCATCCATCCATCACCCCCTCAAACCCCTCTCAAACCCTACCAAATACACTCACAACCCACCAAACAAACACCCCTCCCCTCCTCTTTCCCCCCTTCCCCAAACCCCTAAGCTGTAACACAAAGAAAGGCCCCCTTCTTCTCAATAACTCCAAAAATCACAAGAATAAATAACCCTATATACCTAGACCACAACTACTTTAAATACCCAAGTACCTACCTACCTACGTATCTACCTACTTACCTAATATAGAGACGAATCAAACCTATCGATTATAAAACAAGCTTAAGAGCGGGGTACCGGTCACAATTCACGATCCATGATTCACCTTGCGTGATAATTATGAATGAAGAATTTATAAAGATTTTAGTCATAGCCTTACGGGGTTCTTGAATTTGATATTATATGGTAATGTGATGTTAGTATGATGTAATGTGATATGATGTGATGTAATTGGAGAGGAGTGAATTAATGGGACAGTGGTCGTAAGTCTGATGTAGGATCTTTGTATGCCTAGATATCCTTGGTAATTCAACGACTAGAAGATAGAATATTGTGGTTACTGAAGGGTAGAACGATATCCACATAAAATTACAAGTGGAGAAATCAAGATGTTTTGTAGGAGTCAGCTATGTAGGAGGCAATGAAGATTCCGTGGGCCTCAAGTGCTCAAATGCTCAAATGCTCAAGTCACGGAAGTCAGGATGCAACAGATAAGAGTGGAGTCGAGGTACTAGGAGTGGAATTCGAATACTCGAGTAATAAGAAAAGCCTTCTACGGTACATTTCATATACTCCACTTATAGAGAGCTTATTCCAATAGTTTATATGCCTTGGCATCAGTTCTCTACAGAGACTATAAGAAGACTATTTTGGTGAACACAAAACTTCATCGCTGTATACCTAGTGATGGTAGGTCAGATGAATCTGAGTCTTAGTCGAGGTTTCAGGGAGCTCCAAGTTTTCTCTGATACAGATTTCGTGGTCTAAAATATCATTTTCGTCTATATATCCTGCTCAGCATTTTTTCCTTGTCAAAATATCGTCTAGGCCAATAAGATCGTCATCACACATATCCTCCTCGTCAAATATATTCTTCTCGTCAAAATTACCATCCTCGTCAAGAATATCCTCATGGTCATCGATGTCTTCATCAAAGGAAGATATGCCTGAATATGATGCACCATCCCCATCCACATCTAGCTCAGGCAAACCAAAAATCTGCCTCATTTGCCCTATCCTTTTCGCTTTTTTCTTTCTCATCTCAGCTTGTGCAAATGCCCCTTCAACAACATCCTTATCTATACGCCCCGTTTCAAGCATATCCCATGGCAACCACGCACACGCCGCTCTTGCCAGTTTCTTCTTTCTTCCCTTCGTCCTATTCCCCACCACAATCGTCCCTACACCCCTTTTCAGCGAGGCATTCTCTATCATAGACCTAAAATCCATATCATCTGATATCAATATCAACCAATCATACGCACTCCGCTTTTTGTTTGCCATCGAATCTGCATACCCCATCAACGCTTTATCCGCAGCCTGCCGAACCGATGCCACTTGATTTACTATGACCCCCGCGCGTTTAAGCTCGCTATGGAGTTTATACCTGTCGGCGGGCTCGATGACCCCCACAGCTGCCTCTATATACTTTATAGTTTTCTTCCGGGGTAACATCTTATCCAAAAGCTTCTTCCGCTTTGCACCCTTAAATTGATTTACTCTATTCATCTTCTTTTGCCTCTCTCTTATATGCAGCGTCTCAAAATGTTTGACCAATTCCTTCTGAGTTTTCTTTTTATTACCGCACACACCACATACATAGGGCGTTTCGGGTTTGATTTTATGCCGCTTGAACATTTCCTGTTCCAGTGTGTAGTATTCCTCCAAGTCTTTGCGTGAATCTCTGACTTCGGGCGGCACGAAGGATAACCCATCTTTGTTGGCGAAGGCGGCGATGCCGACTACCTTGCCGATGCGGGAGGCAAATGCACGAATGTTTTGTGCTGCTTCGTACGGATTAAGAGCTTCAATTGGTCGTTTGTTGTCCAGGTCCCAGAGTACAATCACCTTGCCGCCATAGGGTTTAGGGGTCTTTTTGGGTTTTTGAGCATCATCCAAAGGTAATAGAGCCGTAGCAGGCTCTTGATGTGTTTGAGCATCATCCAAAGCCAATAGAGCCGTAGCTGGCTCCTGAAGTAGCTTTAAAGATAAATCAGTAGTTTTGAAGCGTCGTGCAGGAACAATCGCATGTTGAAAGCGAGGGTATAAGAAAGAGAGAAATGGTTTATTGAGGAGAAAGCTCGAGGCAAAAATCTGTCGAGACTTCGTAAGAGACTTCATACTTTACGACAGCCTCATGTTCTTTTTGTGATATATTTTTGTCAAAGGAAAGAGTTTTCACTTTCCTAAGGAACGTTGAGGCTTGGGGTACGCAGTCTTGAGGAGTGAATATGTTGACTATACTGTAATTATTTCACGTCCACCGGCAATTTGATGGTATAAACCTAATCCAGTCACCGCTTTCATATTGCTGAACTTCTTTTAAGACTTACCTCGAATATAATCATTACCTACTATTTACCCATCTCCAAACTGAGAAAATTACTTCAAGCAGATACTACTGGCACATAACTCGAAAGCAAACGCCTATTCAAATTATCTTCCAACAACTACCTATAAGCTGCTTGGACAATACAAAAGTACCTATCATTAGATGAATCTTACAAGTTCACATTTCACATTTCACATTTCACACTTCACACTTCACACTTCACACTTCACACTTCACACTTCACACTTCACACTTCACTTCAAACACACACAATCATTTGACAACTCTGAAGAACAAGCTAGCAGATATATAATCTCACATTAATCATTTCCATTAACTTTATTGTATATAAATATGAACTGACAACTAACCACCCACCCATCCACCCACCACCATGGTATCAAAAAATGCACCCACGCAACCAACCCACGCAACCCCTCATATACACAAAAAGCAAACCACACCAACCACCAAATGCAGGTAAGGTATGTATATCCAAACACCACGCAATGCGGCAATACCGTCGCCCCAATATAAAATCTCAAAAGAAACAACGCCCAATATACTTAATACACCATTGCGAAAACCGCAAAAAGAAGCACCCTTTGGAGTATCCCTTCTCTAATATACCTCCCTCCCGCGCATCATAAAGCTGGCCGATCATAATAAACATCAAATTCCTGTTTAATCCTAATCCCATCTCTTGCAAAACCACCCTTGCCCTCAGGTGATTCTGGGCTTTCTGGGTCCTCACTCTGTTGCACATGTCCCATATGCATATCAGCTATATGTACGCGATCTGGCGTGCGAAATGAGTGTTTGAATATCCGTTCTCGGGAGCCGGAACGGAGTTTGTGGAGTCCGAGTCCTAGACGGCCCTCGGCTTGATCGGTGAATTGTCGGTCCGGATCGCGTTCTTGCTGGGGTGGAGAGGCGTGCGAGGACCGAGATTGAGATTGGGATTGAGATTGAGCGGGTGGGGAATGAGGTGATGTTTCCCTGCTCCTTCCTAGAATAAATCCTGCATCCGAACCCAATCTCTTAAATCGTCCCTGCATGCCTCGGAAACCTTCACCAAATCCATGATACCTAATCCAATTCCAATTTTCACTCCTGCCCCCTCCGTCGTTAGCTCGTTGCAATTCGATGTCATCATTCACATTTCTAGTATTGACGGAGGGTGAATTTGGTGGATATTTTTGATCCTCATTCTTTTGCATATTTCGAGATGGGTGACGGAGAATGTTGAAGAGAGGCCGACAAGCGGGAAGACAAGCAGCAATTAAATACATGCTTGTTTCGAGGACGGTGTAAAGGGCGAGATTCGATGCTGCACGGGGTGTGTCGGGGAAAAGTGATTGGCGTTTGAAGGCGACGAAACGGAGGATGGAGGTTGCGAGACCACTTTTTGCATGTTAGATACTGATTTCAGGTATTGGGGAATGTAAAAAAGTAAAAATGGGAGATGGGATGGTGATAATTACCTCGATCCGGTAAGCAACGTGATACCCAAACCAACCTTCATCTTCTTCGTCATGTTCAGCCTGAAAACAAACGGCAACGGCAGCATCAACATAAGGATATCTGAAATAATGTTCGGCAAACTAGCATATAAAAAAAGCTTTTCAATATTCAAATGACATTCTCCCCCTGGGATAGTTTTATCCCAGAAATAATTCACAGGTGTGCATTGGAAAAGCATCATCATGAATAAAATGGTGGAAGAAATGACGATTATGTAGATAACGGTGTAGGTTACCATGCGATAGAAAGGAACGGTGAAAATGCGGAGATACATGGCTAGAATGGATAATTTGGGAAAGGTTACGGCGATGGCGTAGGTGGCGGGGAAAAATATCAGGAGCTTATAGAGGGAGATAAGTTGTGAGGGGTCGCTGAGCTCGATAGCTTCGACGTGGTGGCCTACTCCGCAGTAATTTATTCCGACTTGAAGGAATGCTGGTTAGATATGGATCCATCTAGATGAGCGTAAAGTGATATACATACTGAGCCCCTGAGCAGCAAGCAGCACCGAAAATATCAAACCTGGTACCATAAGAAAATCGTCCCATCCCTTCGGTGTATTGTGCATCCATCTCGAAAGGAACCTCACAAAAACAAAAAATATATCCAATACAATACAACTGACACAAGTAGCGAAGAGTGGGTGACCGTTATAACTTTCGAGGTATCCGGGTGGGAATTGTGCTGCGGCTGCTTGTGCGTCCATCGTTCTATTCTTTATATATATTCCGGAAGCAGACTATTTCTTTCCGTACGACCAATTGCTGGAATCCCTTTGACTAAAAGGAGCTTCGGAGGGATCACAATGATAGCTCTTTTTGTGCATTAGTCGATCACTAGATTTCGCTCTGCTCAATTCACCTGCCTACTATTGCGAATATTGTTCGAAGCATATCCGAATTAAACGCACGAAAGGTAGAAAGAGATGAGTAAAATACTTCGCAAAATCGCAAAAAGAGAGCACAAAAAAAAGTACTGCGGGAAATCTTCACATAGATATTCAACAGAAAGTTAGCTACTTAGTCGTTAACATCCGGAAGGACCGAGGAAAAAACAGGAGACCCTCATTCAGGGACACTATCAAGTACACTATCGAGCCCGAAAAATTCAAGTGTCTGATCCTCCAAATTTCAAGGCACAACCGGTATCTCCATATCCATAATCCGTCCCCTTCATCTAACCTTATTGGTCCGACCCATCCTAGGCGCAACCCCCATGCAACCCTCGTAACTCCCACGACACACCACTCTCAATTTTCTACTTTCCAGGGAAGCTCTTGACAAGCGCATAGCGTAAGCTGGAAGCAATGATGTTCTGGCCTGTGGCTACGGCTCCTTGGAGTAATCGATGTCACATTCACGTCCTAGGATCGCAGCCTTGCAGGAATAAAGTTGTGCTTGCGATTGCAGGGTAATGGAGTGTAGACGCCGTGAAGGTTGGATGATTTACCGTACATATCTAGGTGGACAATGGGATATTGTGGCCATGCTGTCGAAGAATTTGTTTGAAGTCCTCGTTTGAAGATATGATCTGTGGGAGCTGAAATGAATGGCGCAATTGATCAAATAGGGGCCGGGAACACCTGAAGAATCAATAGTAGAAACTCAAATCTTTGACAATGATTTGCGAGTTCCTTGGTAAGGGAAACACTTGTTCGCATACGGGAAAAAAAAGTAAACATAAGTTGTTCACTAATCGCATGATCTAACGATTTTGAAAATGAGTCGAAGATCCTTTGTCTGGTATTAATCAGTGATCTTTTGCTTGCCATTTGCTATTCCAACTATCTGCTCCGCTGAAACAATTTATAACCCCGGTCTCACACGTGGGTGTATGGTTACATGCATATTGAGACCTTGTCAAATGCCTGCATGAGGATCTAGGCCTTCCGATTGGGCCACCCGCCCGACCGACCTCTAATCCTTTCAAAAACGATCATATCTGGAGGAAAACAGGAACAAGTTTCAGAAAGTTGGAGAAGCCCAATGCTTGGTGACCGTGAGTATTCCTCTGGCCGGGTCAACATTGCACCGTGCTTCCCAAAATGCCATCATAACAAGATGGGCACCAAAACTTTCGTTAAAAAGAGGAAAAAGATAAACATGTGATCGTACATTTGATGATTACACCAACAATTATTCCCCGTTCTAAATTTAGCAATTCGTTCCACTCTTCCATGACAACCCAGGCCCAAGAAATCCACATAAAGATCACCAAAGAAACCAACATCGTACCCACAATAAGAAATGACATCTATTCTTATTATGTTGGTAAGAAACAACAGGAATATCATTTGCACACCTTTACTACACATACGCTCTCCTCATTCGCAAATGTTCGCGGCCTCAATTCGGGATCTAGAACCCTGCTCGAACGTTGACAGGCAACCGTATGGGGTGACAGTTCATCAGGATTTGAAAAGCGGATTTCTGGAAGCTTTTTACGAATGTGCATGCCATTCCTGACAATTGGAAGGATGTAAGGTTATCAGACACGTGTAAATTGATTCCTGTACATGCACAGTTGGGAATCTTGTCTCAGGAAGTAAACTCAACCGGGACGTCTCTGTAATTGGGTTGATGTTGAGATCGGTTCCTCGCATGGAAAATGTATTCCTTGTCCTGAAGTTATTAATCGGCGCGAGGAGATATTGTGCCTCCAGGGCTGTTCGAATAGTAAGTCCTGATAATAGAGGACAGTCGGTGTTGCTTCGGAGATCCTGTCGACTCTTCGGTGTTTGTGTCGATACCTCGAGGGACTCCAGCGTAGGTATGTTGGGCAGCCCAATCATTTTTGTTCTTACCCCTGGTCGAAACTCTGACCACAGGGAGTCGTGACGGCGGATTCAACCGTAAAAGATAGTGAGTATCGAAAAAACTCTGATTCCAATGATGTAATGATCGAATGAAGAAGTTGGCTGTGAAAACGTGCATATTCCAAATTGCGAGGACGCACCACCAATTTTTAAACCATCTCAATCATCGAATTTTCGTCCCGCACCAACCATCCTAGCCCATCCACTGATCACCAAAAGTCCATTTCCACTTGAAGCACGCATCCCAAAGAAAGACCCACCCTCAAATTGCACGCATTGTCCATCCAAATCCACCCCCACATTCTCCATAAATCTGCTGCGGGTGATGTGAATCATTTTTGCTTGTTTGTCTCTTTGCCTTTCTTCCTCAAACTCATCTCCAGCCAGTATACACTTTCTTCCCGTCCACGCAGGTCACTCTCCCGTGTCACTGCAGCCCCATGTTCCAGTCCCACTGATAATCTCGCATACATCTTCCGTGGCCATGACCACGGTCCAGGCTCGAGCCTCAAAATACCAATTTAGATATACATAAGCGCTCAGATCCCTTTCCTCGCCACTCTTCTCCTTCATTTTCGTTATCAATCTTAAGCGCCCATTCATGTGCTTTCATATATGAAATAGTGATTGTGCGAGCGAGGAGTAATTAGGTGAAAGGAAAAGAATGAAGGAATGCCGAGGGCTTAGGATATTGGAAGTAGGTGGGCGATAATGGCGAAGGAAATTGACATGTTGATTAAGCTTTCAGATCATTTTACATAATGCAGCATCCGTACCTCCAGATGCACCATCCTATTTGAGATAAAAAGTTGTGTATGGATAAAGGGTTGGTAGAAATGCGATCTTGAGATGAGGGGAGATAAGTGGAGGTGCTGAGGTGAATGGTAGTGAATTCTCCCAAAGTAGTAGTTATCGATCATGGTGAAGCATAACATTGTTGCACTAATTCATCCCCTATTCAACACTAGTGAGTACGCATAGGCATGCTTGGTGTGTAGAGAAAACACAAAAATTATACCTAATTTTGGTCGAAATTCTGATGGAAGAGTAGTACCCGACATCAAGTACTGTATGACATATTAGCAAAAATAACGCTGTACAAAAATTTATTTAGAGGATCACAATATTGTCCCTCCCAACTTTCACAAGTACTGCACTTTACACCAGTAGGTATACACTAAGTAAGGGTTTAAATGCACGCAAGTGAAGCAAACAAAAGGCACAACAGGGCAAGAACATATACATTAGAACACTGAAAAAATGTTGGTATTCGATATTCACCTCTTCTTTATGAAGCAGGCAAAAATAGTTCAGCGTAATAACGCCACTAGGTATTTATTGATTGATTGATTCCTCCTCCCCAACCGAGGGAGACCAGAGAAGACCGACCGGCAGAATAAAAAACGAAGAAACGTAAGCGAATTCATGAAGAGCGCCACATTTGGACTTTTGTTTGGTCGATGCCCATCCATGCAAATCTTACATCCACATGAGAATAAACAAGCACGGAGACACAAGTAAGCTCCAAAATACTGAACGTGTAATGCCCGAATTATGAGAATTGGATAGCGAGAAAAAGCTAGGCTAGATATACCCACTAAAATCCACCAATTGGAGCTCGGCCAGGAGGTCCTGGATTTCTCGATGCATTCCCACTGATAGGGCTTCCGATTTCACCTGGAGCGCCGACAGCACGGAAGTCATGAGGTGTGGGGTCGCTAACGTAATGGATTTGGGATTTGCCATTCGAATGGCGGATCTCAAAGGTGCCACCCCCATTCATTTGGTTCCCTTCGGTGTCACAAATATCGAGCAGTTCCCTCTCAGAAACTGGCTCTTCCCTAGGAGGATTGAGAAGAGCAACCTCATTCTTGATAGAGTCGATATCTAACCATCCGTCTGGAGTCGAACTCTGGAGGTTTTGGCAAGCCATACAGATCATTAGTCTTACAGCTACCGAACGCGGTTGAGACGGACGAAAGTAAGGCGGCATCCCGAATGAATTGTTCATATTAAGACTTGTGTTCCATCCTCCGCCAAAACCATTGGATCCAGGTAGGGAAGAGGAGCCAAATGGGTTTGGCGGTGCACCCCATGTACCAAAGGAGCTCATCATTCCCGCTGGATCCGAGCGGTCCATACCAAATGGAGGTGGTAGGAAGTTTTGCCTGCTAGAATTACCAGGAGCTGCACTCGAGCGTCGTGGGCCCATTCCAACCTTCAAAGGCTCATCAGTATCATCTAGTAAAGCGCTACTACCAAGATGTTTGCTTGATTCGTCAGGTTCACCATTACTGGATTTATCGCCATGACGAGCGCCGTGAACAATACTGGACGGTCTTCCAATGGGTGCAGGTCTCGCGATAGGCTGGGCTTGTGTCGTCGATGATAATGCATCAAATGAGCCAGATTGGTTTCGAGAATGAGCCTGTGAAGGTGGTGCTTCTTTGGGGGCGCCAAAAAGCTGACCAATACTACCCATTCCGTTTGGAGACGGTTGTGGAAATCCTGGTGGGCCATGCATAGGGAAGCCTCTGCCTTGTGGCATATGATGCATATTAAACCCGGGTTGAAATTGCGGCATGCCTCCATTGGGAATTGGCAAAGGGCGAAATTGGTTGCCTATTGGTTGCTGATGTGTGAACATTGGGTCATGATGCGGTCGTCCGAAACCTGGGGGTACCATTGGCATTCCTGGTTGAAGTCCTCCAGGCATGGGTTGCATACCGGCGAATGGACTCTGAGGGATACCTGGGGGACCTTTTAGCGCGGAATGTATCGGAGAAGTAGCTTGTGGGTGCTGTAAGAAAGGATGCTGTAGTGATGTCTTCCCAGGCGGACCTATCGGGCCGGGACTGTTCGGTAAAGGAGTTATAGAATTAGGTGATATGCTCTGATATTTACCGGAGGGGGTTCTAGGGATAGTTGAGTGGTTCTCTTGCTGAGAGTTTGTTCGAAGCTTGATGGGAGTCGGTGCTTTAGGAACAGCCGGAATGGCAACTGAAATATGAGGTGAAGCTAGGACATGACTCAAGTTGGGCGTAGGCACCTGATTCGGGCGTCTTGAAGCTTGGGCGGCTGACTGGGCAGCTTGAACAGCAGCCTGCTGAGCGGCAACTTCTTCACGTTTCTGTAACTCTCTGGCTTCCTTGTCGGCTTTGACTTTCGCTTCCTTTTCTCGCTTCTCTCTCTCATGCTTCTCTCTTCGTTCCTTGGCCTCCTTTTCCTTGGCCTCTTTCGCTTCCAGTGCTTGGCGCCTTAGCTCCTCTTTCTCCTTTTTCTCTCGCTCTTTGGCTTCACGTTGCTTCCTTTCTTGTTCGGCCTGTCGTTCTCTTTGTTCCTGAAGCCGACGTTGCTTTTCAGCTTCCTTGCGCACGCGCTCTTCTTCGTCGGCCTTTTTCTGTGCCTCTTTCTTTTTTCGATTCTCCTCTCGTTTCAGCCTTTGCTCTTCTGCTTTCTTTTCTTCGATTTCTCGAAGAGAAGCTTCTTCGGCCGCTTTTTCGGCTTCCTTCCGAGCCTTTTCTTCGGCTAGAGCCCGCTTCTTCTCCAGCAATTTTTCCTTTTTCTTCTGCGCATCTTTAGCCTTCTTGGCTTTCCTTAGGGAATCCGCTCGACTCTCTTCCTCAAGTTCCTCGAGAAGTTTTTGCTGCCTCTCTTTCGCAACCTTTTCTTTGTAGGCTGTTAAAACTCTTTGCTCGAACATCCGAGCAGCGAATATCTGGAACATCCGTCGTCCTTCCTCCATACGCTGTTCTTCAGTCATGGAATCCTGTGCTATGTTAGTACAGGATGATCAGCGATAATGTCCTCCACGTACCATCTCCTCTTCATCATAGTCCTCTTCCTGGCTATCATACTCGTCTTCATCATCCTCTTCGTCGTCATAATCGTCTTCTTCTGGCGGTGGTGGGTGATTATGAAGGTGTCCGTGGGAATGAGGATGCATGGAACCATTCGGAGGGTGGCCGTAATTCGCATTAGCATACTGTTCTTTTGCATCTTCTTCTCGAGCCATGCGGCGCTCGGCTAGTTGCTCCATCATTTCGATAAATTTCTTTCCGTCATTTTTGAGTAAGTCATCCGCTACGGTAAGAATCCCTCCCTGTACTGTGAGACTATTACCAAAATTAAAAAAGTCTGTGGCGTGACTTCTTGGGATTTCTTCGGGTTCTTCGTCACTATAATCATCTTCATCCGCATCATCTTCACTGTACTCCTCATCCCCTTCTTCATCTTCGTCATCGCCAAGTTGCTCTACTATCCTACCCCTTGATGGTTGCTGCCCAGTAAAAACTGGTGGTAAGCGATTAGGTGGCTGTAATCCGCTCATGGCGCCAAATCGACGGGGAGGTGGCATCATTGGTGGAGGACCGTCACCTCCTTGATGATTTGCATATTGCTCGAGCTCTTCGTAGTATGCGTCGTAAAGTACTTCTAGTTCCTCTTCAATGGCGGTGCGCTTGCGACCACAGACTGTGCAGCTACAAGAATGCTTTTGCTGCTCTTTCATTTTCTTGAGTACGGCATCCTTTTCTACCTTGACTAATGATTTGCGCTCATCTTCTCCGAGAGATAACCAAAATTCCTTTATCCTCTCACGTTCTTCTTGCGATGATGTATTCCAGATTTTCTCCTTCGAAATACCCGGCCCTCTCTGCATATTCGGCGGGGACTGTAGAGGAATTGGTAGCGATACGTGATTATGTGATGAACCATTTGGGCCGTGGTGTGCGTAATTAGAATTGTCTGACTGCGAAGACTTCGATTTCTTTTTCTTCTTCTGTTTCTTGCTCGAGGAATTTGTTGTAGGCATCGCATAGCCATTTGTTGAGGAGCCATCATGACCATACGAGCCCGAATATGCATCACCTTCCTCGTCGCTATAATACGCATTATCCTCCGCAGGATCTAATTGTTCGTCGTCATCGTACTGCTCGTCTAGTCCCGTCTCGCGGAAGCGTGCTTCTAGTTCCTGCATTTGTTTCTTGACATCGCCAGGAGATGGTCCCCCATTCGTCTGCGAGCCTTGTGCTTGCTCTGCAGCAGCCCTAGCAGCCTGTTTCGCCCTTCGTTTCTGCTTCTTGCGATTTACTGTCGGAGGTACGCCATTGATGTTTGCGGAAGGGGTGGGCAGTTGGCCATTTGATTTCGTTGTAGTCTGTGCCATGGTGAGGAATGTCTCGGATGAATCGCTCGTACTGGATTTGGGTGCAATTACGGACTTTCCAGCATCCTGCGTTGACGGAGTCGCAGTGTTTCTAGGAGTTTGCAAGTATGACGACTGGCTTGTCTGCTTTCGTTGGTTTGCGGGCATTCCGAAGGGGTGTAGGGTAGAGGGATCCGGTAGCGACGACCGTGGCTAAGTGACAAGGTAATTTTAGATTCGGATCGACCAGCGGCATCAACGAAAAACGGTATCTGTTGAAGAATTTCCCAATATCACTTTGCAGACTTACTCAAAAGTTGTAGAATTAGTTCTCGCGACTGCCCCACCAAGGTGTCTGTTTGCTTTCGGGATGAACAATAATGTGATTTGTGTGGGGGATGAGGGCTGGACTATTATTTCAGAGAGGGCGCGTGTAATTATTTTGGAGGTGACGAAGTTATTTGGGTATGTAGGTTTGACCTGGTTGTTATTATTGAGAGGGCACCGTGGGAAATCCAGCAGGGGAGTTTTTAAAGGGCTTGAAGGTTAAATTGATGTACGGGTAGGTACCCTTTGAAGGTTATTGAATTGAATCTAAAGTGAGGTGGCTGAGTCATCAAACCTCGTATATAAGGACGAGATGCAGTCCTGGATGGGATATCTACAAATTTGTATCTACTGTAAAGTGACCTTCCACCTTCCACCTTCCACATCCGAACTCAACCAGTTATACTCCCGTCATCGTCGCCCTTGACTGTATGGAGTAGATAGTAGATACTGCAGTTGATGTTGCATACTTGAAGGGGAAAATGCATACAGAATATTCTGGGATCGTTTTGGTGAGCATGATACGTTCTAGCTCTAGATGAATAAGGACGTGGATAGAATCAGTTCGGGGATGACTTCTAGTCCTATAAAGGGATGGAATCTATGAAGCTCGCCTAGGAACGGGGATAGATTCAATATGGGGATAGAATCAATCATATCCATACATACCTACATACAATCAGTTCTAGTCCTAGAACGGGAATAGAATCAAATGTGTGAAACCTCTCTAAGGACGGGTATAGAACTCAAGTATGGGAACCTCCTCTAAGAATGGCATAGAATCAACAAGATAATGTATCCTTGATACCCGCACCTTACCGATCCAGGCACCTTGAACTCCATAAGGAGATCAAACTGAATGACATTAATATTGCTTGAGGCTATGAATAGAATCAATACACTCGGTAGATCTGTAAGTGTAAGTACTTGGTAGTTGAAATCAATAGATCATTTTGAACATCCAACTTCAATGGCATCGGTTACATTCAATCAGATGATTTTTATTCAACTGATTTTAGTTAGAACTACCTATTAATCTATATGTGCCTTTTAAGGACTTTTGATCTATCACTATCACTTATCACTACCATCCAAATATTCTTATTCTTATTCTTATTTTAACCTTAATGAACTTATTTATCTTTTGCGCCCTCTTATTTTTTATATTCCCTATAAAGTTTGATCCTTATTTAGTACATCACCGGTGGGCATTGATGTTCTGAATCATTTGTAAGATTACAACATCTCAGCATCTCCTCAGTAAGGTTATGGATAGATTGGCTTGCAGGACCTTGTAACTTCAAAATATCAAAGTCAAGTTCTGGAACTGACTGAAACTCTAGACCTTGAGGATGCATAAAGCAAGAAACCCATCAACACTGCATATGCACAAAACCGTTCAGAGTGAAAATCAGTATATGCCAATATGTACTTGGAAGTTTTGAGCTCCCCCTTCATCTGTTCCCTCCACGTTTCTACTCTTCTGGATATCATAGGTAGGGCGTATGGGCATATGGGTATATCCTCTGCTTCATGATCATTCTCTCTCTCATCTTAGATTCGTCTTGTCTCATTTCTTGCTGTGCCTACCAAGCTTCACATCATACATCATACCATACAAGGAGATACTTCCGAATCCACTTACTCATCAGCATTATTCAGCACACGTACCGATAGCTACCTATGACCAACCGAGGACCTTCTGCCCATTCACATCGATTCCTGGAGGTTTGAACATCCACCTTGACTCAAATCCATTCAGCTCTCCCAGCACATCACCTGTTTGTCACCTCACTGACTGCACTCTGGCAACGTTCCAAATTCAACCGCTAGCTGCCTTTAAATCTATCACATTATCACATTATCACACTTTCCAACATTCCCATCAAACGCATAAGGGAAGCTCATTGCAGATCTCACGGATCTTCTACTAAACCCAACTCAGAGCTCTAAAATAAAAGACGTGCACGGTCCGACTGCTCAGCCTTCTCACTCTTCGGAAATCTCCACCCGGCTTCTTCTTTTAACTTTAACTTTACTCGCAACAATTAAAAAGGAGATATCGTCAATAAACCCAAGCATAATTTCAATTCTTCTCCAAAAATACCCATCTTCACAAATCCATTGTGTGTTTATTTTCTTCCTCGATTCTTTTATGAGACACTCGCTCCTCAAGGATCCATTTGCTAGGTAAATATTCATCGTTTTACCTTTCACCGGTTCATCCATCCCACTGAGAGCCACTTATGTCCGAGTATCTTCAAAATTGAAGCTTTGAAATTTCTCCATTTCGTCACAATCTCTCATTCCGATAATTCTTCCTTCGAATCCACACGATAATCTTGACGGAATTGTTGTTGACCCCTTCAAACATAGTTTCTCGACCTCCATAGTTGCATGGTTTTCTCCTAAAATCCTCGGCGCGATATCCTTTTTACCTCTACCGACAACGACAATACAATATCTACAATATCATACGATCCCGCGATAATGACTCAACAACCGGCACAAAATGTCATGCGAAGGTACGTTGGTACATTTCATGAAGTTTGGAAAGATTGGAATTCCGATCGTGGAGAGCGTATGGGGGCTCGTGTTGCTACTCAGCCTCGTTATATCCGAGGTCTTAAAATCAGCAAAAGCAACAGACCATTTTTTAGGGCGGATGTCAGCGCGTCCCCATTAGTTTTTGTTATAATGACGCAACGCGCGCCGTGAAAGACCTGATATTGACATTACTACAGGAAGTTGGTTATAATTGGAGATGGTGCTTGTGGTAAAACTTCTCTACTCAGTGTGTTTACACTTGGCTACTTCCCAACGGTAAATCTCTTCAGGAATCAAAATTTTGGCATATTTACTAACAATAAATATAGCACTACGTATGTTATAGTCCGCAGCAATTTTGCGCTTTATCTTTGCCAATTGGGTGATGCTCACAACCTTATCTTATTTTAGGTTCCAACCGTTTTCGAAAATTATGTGACGGATTGCAGAGTTGACGGAAAATCCGTACAATTGGCATTATGGGATACAGCGGGACAAGAAGATTATGAGAGATTACGACCACTGGCATATTCCAAAGCCCATGTTATTTTAATAGGATTTTCAATCGACACTCCAGATTCATTGGATAACGTCAAACACAAAGTAAGATTGCAATTTCTGGGGAAAAGTTGATACGAAGTACTAATGTTTTGGCTAGTGGGTCGAAGAAGCAAACGAGCGATGTCCAGGCGTTCCCATTATACTCGTTGGGTTGAAAAAGGACTTGCGAGAAGATCCTGTGGCTAGAGAGGAGATGCGAAAGAAGTCCCTTGACTTCGTGGGGACGAAAGAGGCAGATGATATTGCAAAGGCTATCGGTGCAAGGAAATACTTGGAATGCTCGTCTTTGACTGGAGATGGAGTTGACGATGTTTTTGAAGCAGCCACACGAGCCGCCCTCTTAACATTTGAAAAAGGGGAAAGTACTGGATGTTGCGTTATACTGTAAGGATAGGCGAACGGAGTTTGGGGGATGGGGATATGCTGAACCAAGACGGAAAAATCGAAATAGGATATAATTGGAAGGTTTCGGAAACGGCGGCATCTTCGCAACCATTACTACCGATGCACGAGCGGGTCGAAAATGCCTCTTCTGTTGCAAGTATATAGGCAATTCAACCTGCCGCAGGAATGTTGACGGCAGTAAAAGGGCAACGGCAATTTGTACCTTTTGACAAAAGACCCACACGCCAGGAACACGAACTGATTTGACAATGATACCGATGTACTCCACGAACAAATTCAATTGTTTCTCTATCGAGTCGCCAGGCTAGATAATGTTTTTCAACGGCAATCAACCACGAAACGGCGGTCTCTATTTCAGTCTTACTCTTTCCCACAAACAGGCCCAAAAATTATCGGGCTTCGGGATTGGTTCGGTTCGGTTCAGTTCGGTTCCCTTATTCTTGTATTTGTTTTTGATTTCCTGCTCCTCTCATAATGGGATTTCATTTACATAAACCTCTGATGTCACGAGAAAAGCTCGACAAGTGGGGAGGAGCTTGCTAGACGTCCCCTTCGAAGATAGCCAGAGAGATAATTCGATGTTGTTTGTGATGGGAATGCGTTGGTGCACTTGCTTGTATTGCAGATTAGCGTTGGGTTTTAATGGTTTTAGTTGGGTGGTTATATGGTTATGGATGGACTTTTACATGGATATTGAATGGCGATGCGATGCATATTTGAGAAATGGAGACAGACGGAGAGACATTGACTTTGTGCATAGGATTACATAGCAGATGCCGTCTGATACGGGCTCGTGGTTGTGGCCCGATTACTACATGAATTGAACTTTTCTTCCGCAACTTCGTACAGACTTTATGAACGACGTCCTTCCCCGTCTTTCACGGCGCTTACTTGGCGCGATTCTGGTCGTTGGTTCTAGCTCCCACACTTCAATCCCGTCGTATAGCATGTCTGAAGTGCATCGGGGTTTTCGGATCCGAATCATGTTTAACTCTTATGTCGTTAAACAAGCTCATCATAACTACTTAGTATACATATGGTGCATGTTTTCTTACGTGAGATCTATCTCTCAAAGTTCTCTTCCATATTCACTGTACAAATCCTAATAAGTTGTTAGCAAAATACGCCGCTATCAATTCCAGAAACATAACAGTAGATAGAAGAGAAATCAGACAGCAGTTGGTACTTTTTTTGTCCACATAGAAGATTACAGAACAGGTCTGTGAATAAGGTATATCATCATATTACCCTCAACCAATACCAAAACAAATGAGATGTGCGTGCTCAACTGCTTACCTTTGCAATGTTATTGTTGTCATATTTCTCATACCCGTCTACTCTACTCCTCTAGTCCATCCATGATTCCATGGTTCCTTCGCTGGTGTATCGGTTTGTGCCCTCGCGTACTCAATTGGAATTCCATCTTTTCCGAAAATTCCTTTTTTCTCGAGGGCTACGCGGTATAGTCTACCAGCTTCTTTTTGGCCAGCGCCTTCGAGCAGCCGGAGGTCTTCCATAGCGTTGTGCATTGATTGGTGGAGTCTAATGAAGAGTTGGTATTAGTATTTTGAGGGAAGATATCACGAGGAAGAGGTAGGTAAGTAAGTTGAAGACAAGGCCTAGCTAGGCATGAATTGGGAATAGACAATCAGAAGGAAGGCAACGGAAATCTCCACATGGGTTTTGCGCTCTCGGAGTATAATGTGTTTAACATCCGGAATATTTCATCATATTGAATAATTTTTTGACTCTTGAGTTGGAAAGAAAAAAAGTAGGAATTGGATTGTGAAAAAATAACAAAGCTGCAAAATAAGCCCCTGCTAGGCTGTGTATAACATACCTGTATAATTCTCCCTCCTCCTCAGTCCTCTTCTTCCGTCTTAGTATCATCCATGCTCGATGAATAGTCCAATGTCTCAACGCGCGCGTACGTGAAAAACGCAGTGGGCGAGGAGTCTTAGGATGTTGGAGATGGTAGCGGATGAGGGTTACTCGAGGATCAGTTTTGCTGTTAGGGTTCTTTTTGTGCAGAGAGGGAGTGCTGCTGAAGGTTCTTAGGGGTGTTGTTGAGCTAATTGAGGGGAGGGTGATGGATCTGAAGGATTGGAGGAGAGGTGTTAGGAGGCGGAAGAGTGGTGATGGGGTTGGGAGATAAGGTGACATTTTGAAGATTATGTATTTAAAAGAAGGGAAGGGATATTAATCGTGGTGGTAAAGCGTGTTGTTGTGAATTGAATGGACGGAAAAAGATTTAGAAGTTGGGATAAATTTCATCTGGGTTGAGTTGCTACCCCTGTCAGTATAGTGCACGTGATAGACAGTAGGGTTGACGATAAAACGATATGCGCAGTGGGTATCAGACTTCCACTTTTGGCTGGCCGTTCCCATGATCAACCAACAGTTGTGTTTTTTAAAGAGCGGCATTGTGAATCTTCCCAATCTTGCAGTCACTACTGGTACTTTGAGTTTAATTTGACCTTTCTTGATACCCCAAAAGCAAAGTAGAATTGAGAATATATCACAATGCCCTTCATGGCCCCTGCTCAGCGGAAAGGTGTCACGCATTTATTCGTATGTGCATTCATATAGTTATTTCTTTTGTAATCACGAATATAAGTTTGAAGGTTGCTGTTGGACTTTGTTGACGCTGGAATACTTCTTTATAGTACCTTTACTAATGTACCATAGACACCTAAACTGACTGCTTTCGAACACACACCCAAAGCTTCAGACTCGGACCCTCAGAACATTGTCGTCTTCATTGGTGGTCTATCTGATGGTTTACTCACTGTACCATATCCATCATCAATCTCAGATGCATTACCAGCAGGTTGGAGCCTTGCTCAAGTTCTTCTAAGTTCCGCGTATATTGGATGGGGTATCTCCTGCCTCAAGAATGATGCCCAGGAACTATCTCAATGTGTTGCCTATTTCCGAACCATCAAATCAGGCAAGATTGTCTTGATGGGACATTCTACTGGTTGTCAAGATGTCATGGAATACCTAACAGGACCCGGACACAAAACAAACACTCCAATTGATGGAGGTATTATCCAAGCTTCAGTAAGCGATCGTGAAGCTTTGGGTCAGGAAATGGATGCAAATGTTCTTAAAAATAGCATCGCCCTAGCACAAAAAATGGTTGATGCTGGTGATGGTGAAGAAATCTTACCATCTAGTGCTACGGAAGGATTCTTCCAATCGCCTGTGTGTGCAAGGAGATGGCTCTCGTTAACAAGTCCAAATCATGATGGGGATGATGATTATTTCAGCTCTGATCTTACGGACGAGCAACTGAAAAAGACTTTTGGAAGCTTGGCCGCTAGGAGCCCGTTGTGCATTTTATACTCTGGAAACGATGAATATGTTCCGAAATATATTGATAAAGAGGCCCTAGTAAAACGATGGATTGATATTGTGAAGAAAGGAGGTGGAAAGGTTGATGAGGAGAATTCTGCCGTTCTACCGGGTGCTACACATAACTTGTCGAAAAGTCCTGAAGTTGTGCCAGAGTTGGTAAAGAGAGTCTTGGGGTTCTTGAAGGGTTTGTCCTCACAATCTCATTTGTGATGTAAGTCAGTGTGGGTTCAGAGGTAAAGGGCTGGTCTTCGAGCCATATTCTCAGTTTGAGAGCGAGCATTTAACATCAAATTCTTTTTTGGGGATGAATTATGGCTACGAGAAAGCTGCTATCGATTCATGGTTTCTGCTCGGCAAACCCAATAGAGAAATTAACCCTTTTACGTCTCTCAACACATTTTCCGAGTTCGATTGATGATGGTACCCAGGTATAGTATCATGCATGCTCTCTGGAAATATATAAAAAACCATAGCTCAGAATATCACAGCCTCCTTTAGTAAACATTATAGACCTGATGATTCAATGACTGGCATTACTGGACAGGATACTGAAACTGGATTATCTGCTTGGGTGTTATATTGCCACAGACAATAAGCATAGTTTCTAGACTCTATATCCTTCAGGAAATAGGATATCTTTTGTTTTCTTCCCTTGCTTTTTAGCGGCTATTTCTCCTTGTTACTGCTGGAACTTGGAAGTTTTCTGAGGAGTTCAGAGGTATTAGTGGATCATGACAAAGAGTGCTATCTGACACGGAGCCCATCAAATTAGATTATTCTTCTTCATGTATCCCGTTTTAACTGCTATACTACAGTGAATATTCGAGCAAGTTATCTCCATGAGATAGTCTCTAATCGTTCATCCAATCGTAGTAGTGCTTAGGATAATAACCACAGTTGTTCGACACTTCAGGAGCCGGTTTTCAAACTAACCTATAACGATGAGAAAAAGAACATTGATGTGGTGTTGTCAAGAGACAAAGTCCATAAACAGATGCAAAAATAGTGCTTAGTATTTCTTCCTCTCGGTACAAAAGTCAGCATACCACCCAAAAGTCAAAGCCAGAATCAAAGACACAGGTAATCGTTTGTACGTTCCAAAATTAGCATTTATATTTCCTCCAAGTATTCAGCACTTCGATACTATCATCTATACGCCAGCGAGTATCGTCGGTATCTCGCGCCCTGGCCTCTAACTCTTGGTTTTTTGTTTTTTTTTAATATTCTCCCATATACTTCTAGTCCAGAAGAATTGACCACAAAGCATTTTAGCAATAAGTTCATTGTCCTCACTACTCATCATCGTCATCATCATCATCATCATCATCATCATCATCATCATCAAAATGAACCGCATTTACCGTACTGGAGTACCATATCAATATATTTTCCTCTACATATATCATCTAAAATTAGGGGTGTAGCTCCAAATGTCAGATTCAAAAAAAGCTGAACGAAAATAATACATCAGTATTTAAAAATAGCAACCATATAAGCCAACAACATTTCCGTATGCTAGATAGACATAAAAACATATATCATCTCCATCTGCTTTTGCATGAATAATAAGAGTGAGAAAACAGGCTCCTAAAATATTTGCGATGGAAGACGTAACTATATTCTCGCGTACTAGGTTAAGGATTTGTTCTCGTGTTTGAAATGTTTGATGAGATATGAGATGAACGCATGGATGTGTTTAGAGTATGTGATTACAAAATGCATTCTAAAGCTAGGGATTTTCAAAAACTAGGGATATTGACCTCGTTCTAAGCTGGTAGTGCAAGCTATGAGTTTAATTGTAAGCTCTAGAAGACGTCAGGTTGGGCTGCCACCACGGCAGTCAGAGCTAAGATTTGTGATATGATTAAAGTACATATCTGAAGATTTCTATTGGGCCAATGCATATTTGTAAACGAATATTAGGTAATTAGTATTGTCTTTGCAGTGGATGATGGAGCAATTAGTATTTTATTATGTTCATACATAATCAATATACATGCACCTTGCTAGCGATAATATCCACCGCAAATCTTATGTACAAAAATGCAACGCGTTCGCCCAAAAATGCTGAACAAGCAACCACCTGCCAACCCGGAATCGTTCTTTGATCCACGTAGAGCCTCATCATCCAAGTAGCCATAGATTAACACCAGTCCCCTTTAATGTGCTTCCCGGCTTCATTTCATCTAGTCAACTCAACTGTCCTTCATAAAACCCCAGCATCCTTTTCCCCATGATCATCATAAACCGTATGACTAAAAGCCTCAAAATCTCCATTATCAACTAACCACTCGATATCTTCGTCGTCCGGGCCCAGTTTACTCATAAGGCCTGTTCCAGCTTTAGGGTATGGTGGACTATTTGGAGTAGACTCTCTGCTTTCCTGTGACAGACCTTGTCCATTACCCATTCCATTGGTGTGTCCATTTGACTCGGTATTTCCAGTGGTTTGCGGGGGTAGTGTAGGTGGAGCGGAAGAGGCATGAGCGAAAGCTGGTGTCGGTGGGAATGATGAGGTAAACATTGAAGAAGGGGTGATATTGGAAGCCGTGGAATTAGGACCTACTTTACGAATGAAGTTCATTGGGGCGTTGGGGTTTGATTCTGCACGAGAGAAGAGACCTGCTGTGGAAGTGGCGGAGGGAGGGAACGGTTGTGCGGCGTGATTTGTTGTGAGGCGAGATGTATTCTGTGATTGGCGGGGTTGGAGGGGTGGAGGATTTGCGGGGAATATGGGCATATCTGGATGAAGGGTTGAAGCTTTGACGAGAAGCTCTACTAGTTGGGGATGAGGGAGTGTTGCTAGATATGCCCTTCTCTACAGAATTTGTTAGCTAAGAAGTTTAGAGCAAAAAAGTATAGTTTGAGGAATACCTGATCTATTGTTTTGCCGGCCCAGCTAACACCGTCATTCTTAGATGGTGCCGGTTTAATCCCCCTTTTCCTCGCACAATCATTGCAAAACCATGGAGCCTGTTCATCCTTCACCTCTTCTTCCGAAACCACGGGATCATGGCACATCTGATGCCATCCTAAGTTACATCCATCACAAAAAACTATCATATTATTCTGAGGGCTATTGCCTCTCCCACATCTTTTGCATAAGGCTTGTTCTTGATTTTGGCTTCGCTTATGTGCTGACGCAGAAGACCGTTTTCTCGAGCTTGCCTCGGGCAGTGTAGGAACGAATTGTATCGGCTTCACTATTTGTCTCCCGCTTTGTGTAATTTTTGGCATTTCCGTAGTCGCACTGTTCGAACCATCCGAGTCTGAATCTCCACCTAGACCACTTAAAGCATCAGACTCGTCCGCACTTTCACTCTCATCCTTGACTCTTTTCCGCTTTTGTCCCGCCCTTGGCCCTTTCCCTCTCTTTTTGGTTCCTGCACTATTTACAGACCCTGTCGGAGTTTCAATTTTAGGTGTGGCACCGGCTTTAGGCGTTGGCTTTTTGCTAGTTTGATATCTTGGTGGTGGTGTATTTATTTGCATATTCTGTGTAGTTTTCATGCCTGACATAACGTTTCTGCGCATTTCCTCGTAGCCCGGTGGTGTCCCTGTAATGCCAATACTGGACAGCCCACCAGTTATTCCTGCTTTCATGCGCTGGAGAATCATTTCGGTAGCGGCAGAGAATTGAGGGACATATTTAGGAGGAGATGATTCGCCCGTAGCTGTGTCATTGGCTCCAGTTGCAGCTGCAGGAGCTGGAGTATTGTTTGGCGCGTCCATGTCTGTCGTGGTTGATTGGTATTCGGCCAAGGCAATTATATTTGCGCCGGCGAGAATTAACAGAGCTGCTGGGTCGCGACAAGCGTGATAAGTATCTATAATTGATGATCAGGATTGAAAGAGTAATTTATTGGTTGACCGAAATCAATTGAATAATTGAAAGCCGTGTTAACCCTATAGCAAGAGCCAGAAACAATTGATATATCGACTTGTCGGCACGCGTACTGAAGGATCCCAGCAAAGATTATAATTAGGATTAAACTCCTTGACATACAGCTTCGGCCTGTCGAAAGTGTAGAAGTTGATGCTCTTCAAAATACTTGTAGATGTCGTTATGAGAGAGTACAAAAAGTGGTCTGGTGATGAATAAACTGGCAATCACATGTTCAAAAATCATGTGATGTGTTAAAAACCGCGCTCCTTCGAATTAGCCTGATGCTTTGCGCGGTTGTGTTTGAGGGAAGCCCAAAGATATTGACAAGGTATATTTATGGTATTCAATATCTAGGATGTCTATATAATTCTATTTCACTGCGCCTTCCCTTTTCAATGCTTGAATATCGGATTCATCCATACCCAGGACATCCCTGAGAATCTCATCCGTGTGTTGTCCTAGCATAGGGGGCACTGTTCGTATACCTGGCTTGCTTTCGCTATATTTAATTGGAGTGTTGACCATCTTTATGGGACCACAATATTCATGATTCATCTCCGTAACCATATCCCTTGCCAACACGTGCTCATGATTCAATGTTCCTTGGATGTCATTGATGGCCGCATATGGTAGTCCGGAGCCCTCGAAAATATCTAGCCACTCTTGAGTCGTTTTATCTTGCGTGATCTTCTCTATAGAGCTGTCTAATTCTGCTCGGTGGGCAACTCTTGATGTGTTAATGACAAATCTTGGATCTTCTTTCCATTCTGAGCGTCCAAGCCCATCGCACAGAAGTCCGAATAATCTATCATTTCCTCCGCCGAATAAGATATCCCCGTCTTTCGTCTTATACGAACGATATGGTACAATCGATGCTAACACTATTGTAAGAAAGAGCTTTCAACAAGATCAGAAAACACTTACGATGGGCAGTCCCCCATCTCCCCCCGTCCTTCTCCCCGCTTATCAAACAAGAACTCGCCAGGTTTGACAATGTAGCAACTTGACAATCAGATAGAGCAACATCAATGTGCTGTCCTCTTCCCGTCCTTCCTCTTGCCAACAAAGCAGCCATAATACTATTACTAGTATACAAGCCGGTCGTCAAATCAGTCACGGCAACTCCTACTTTCACGGGTGGTCCATCTCTACTTCCCGTGATGTGCATCAGCCCCATTTCGGCTTCTACCATAACATCGTATCCAGCTCGGTTTCGATACGGACCTGTCTGGCCATAACCGGTAATAGAAGCGTATACTAGTCGCGGATTGATCTCTCGCAGGGTTTCGTAGTCCATCTCATATTTCTTCAGTGAACCCGGTAAGTAGTTCTCAACGAGAATGTCACTTTCTGCAGCGAGTTTATGAAGAATTTTGACTGCCGATGGATGTTTAAAGGAAAGTCCTAGTGATTTTTTGTTTCGATTTACCTAGTGATCAGTGAGCCGTGGAGCTTGTGATAGATTGGAATATGAGGCCAGGCTACAGCAAAGAAATATGCACTTTCTCCGGGCCCCTCTTTCCCCGAGCCATCCAAGTATTTTGCATAAGGAGGTCCCCAATGTCTGGTGTCATCGCCCTTTGTGGGATGCTCGACTTTTATCACTTCTGCACTAGATCCGTGAGCATGAATGACGGCCCGAGGAATAGCAACCATACCCAAGATCTCCTAATATTTGCGTGCAGTATGGCTGTGGAATTGTCAGAGGCCTCCTTTGAAGTCACAGGGTTCTAGCTTACGCCGGCAAGCACTCGGGTCATATCTAGTACTTTATACCCTTTCAGAGGGAGAGTCATATCATTTGAAGAAGCATCTGCCAATCCTCTGCGCCTCATTTGCCTAACCGCTGGAGTGAAGCCATTGAAATGTGAGAATATACGGGAAGCTCCAAAGAGCGACCTCGAACAAAGTAAATTGGTCATAATAAAAATCTATGTACAATGGAGAATGACCAGAGCTGTATCTCATGAGTGATGTCTGTTATTATCATTGACCCGCTACCCCAGATTTTTGGCGATCTCGGCTCGGCATAAACCACCACCGAGGAGCTCACCGGAGCTTCATCAACAATAGACACAATAGACAGCAAACAACATAAAGAAAATCAGGAATTTGCAAATACATCGAGATATTATATTATTGGGTATTGAACTTTTTACTTTCTCACAGTCACAAATATGTGCCTGCTTAACCTTCCTCTCTATCCATTTCATCACGACCTCTTTTAGCACCGTTTGCAGGTCTTCTTCCTTTTAACACTGCACCCTTCTTCCCTCTATCTTCGTGCAAATTCTTCATCTCATTCCTAGCGTGCCTTTGAGCTTCTTCCACTCTAGGCTTGAATACCATGACTTCATCCTTCACCGTTTGGTATTCTTCCTGCTTTTTTCCTAATGCAGCCTCAATGCGCATCCAAATTTCTACATCATATTGCGTGACGAAACTAATTGCATGTCCGGATTTCCCTGCACGAGCGGTTCTTCCTACTCTGTGAATGTATGTTTTACTGTCCTGTGGCATGTCGTAGTTCAATACAACGTCAACTGAAGGAATATCCAACCCACGAGCAGCAACATCAGTTGCAACAAGGATTTCTCTTGAGCCTGCACGGAACTTGTTCAAGGCACCCAAGCGAGAAGATTGTGAAAGTTGTCCGTGTAGTGGAATGGCTCCAAATCCAAGGGTTCGTAACAGAATCGCTATTCTCTGTGTCTCGTTGACTGTCCGTGTAAAGATAATGGCGGATTGTCCTGCGAACTCATTCAAGAGATATATCAAATATGTATCCTTGTGAACTAATGGGATGAATATGTAGTTTTGGATAAGAGTCGAGACAGTCTGGTATTTGTTGCTGCTGATGCTTACTCGGAGTGGGTCTTTCAAACTTGCTCGTTGAAGGCTTTCGACTTTGGAGCTGATAGTTGCGGAAAAGAGATATGTCCGGCGCTCTCGAGGTAGAACTTTGAGGATTTTATCCAGAATAGGTCCGAAATCGAGGTCAAGTAATCGATCGGCTTCGTCCATAACTAGATATTTCAATGACCGCAACGAAAAGCCTTTCGTATTTTCCAGGTGATCAAGAAGGCGACCAGGAGTGGCGACTATAATATGAGGTTTTTTACCCAAAGCAATTGCCTGTGGAACCATGTCCATTCCTCCTACTATAACTGCACATTTTACTCTGATAATAGACCCAAGGGCCTCGAATGATTGAGAGATTTGATATGCAAGTTCACGAGTCGGTGCTAAAACCAATCCAAAGAGAGGCTGTGGTTTATCAAGTAAAGATTGAAGAATAGGTAGTGCAAACGCGGCAGTTTTTCCACTTCCCGTTTCTGCCAAGCCGATCAAATCTCTTCCTTGGAGCGCGAGTGGTATAGATTCCCTTTGAATAGGGGTTGGAGCTTTGTATCCCAAGGTGTCGCATGCTTCGCATAATGAATCGACGATACCCTGGAAATGTCAGTAAACATTTTCTCGACGGAAAAGTAATTACAAACCAAATCTTTGAATGACTTTGTGACCTCTTCTTCCTCCGTTCCTTCCTCTATTTCATTGTTCTGATTCTCCTCTGTTGGCTCCGGCGAAGATAGTGGGGAGGCTTCTTTTGGCTCTTTTGCTTGCTTCGATTTCAATCCCGAAGATGTGTTTTTCTCGGTCTTCCTCCGCTTCACCGAAGACATGATTGTACAATGTCGATCCAAACTTTAGGCGTATTTTGATCCAAATTCTTCAATCAATAAGTGATTTCAATATAGTTGCAATATTTTTGATTATATGGTGTTACTGAGTGTGAAGAGCTTTGAAGGAAGACCGGTCAAGTTAGTTCTCGAGAAAATAATTTTTTATCAGCTTATCGGATCCGCTTATCTGATTGGCCGCGCAAAAAAGTTTCTACCTTTAAGAAAATATTAGTACGAGAAAGTCCTACAAAAATAACACAGAAATAACATCATACAATCCAATACTCAAAAATGGCACGAAGACGAACTAAGAAGCGCACTCATGTCGGTGCCAATAATGGACCAGCTGGAGCAAAGTCAGCTCCTGCTAGTCAGACTTCACGATCCCCGAAAAGCATGGTGATTCGAGCTGGAGCTGGAGAAGTTGGACCAAGTGTTAGTCAATTGGTGAGGGATGTTCGACGGATGATGGAACCAGATACGGCATCGAGATTGAAGGAGAGAAGAGCAAACAGATTGAGAGATTACCTTACAATGGCAGGCCCTTTGGGTGTCAGTCATCTCATGTTATTCTCAAGGTCGGAGGCTGGAAATACAAACATGCGACTTGCTCTTACACCAAGAGGTCCAACATTACATTTCAATGTAGAGAAATATTCTTTATGTAAGGATGTGAGAAAAGCATTAAAACATCCCAAGGGTGGTGGAAAAGAATACACTACTCCTCCATTGGTACGTTTACAACATCAATTATCTGGGCCTAGAACTGATCTATTTAGCTCGTTATGAACAATTTCATATCTCCTGCATCAGAATCGAGTTCCGACAAAAAGATACCCAAACACCTCGAATCGCTTACAACCACCATCTTTCAATCTCTTTTCCCACCAATCTCTCCCAATATTACACCTCTAACATCCATCCGCAGAGTTATGCTTCTCAATCGAGAACCCACCAAAGATGAAGATGATGGCGCCTATACCATCAACCTTCGTCACTATGCAATCACAACGAAGCGAATAGGTCTTTCAAGACCATTAAGACGATTGAATGCTGCAGAGAAATATTTACAATCAAAAAATCCAAGGAAAGGTTTGCCAAATCTTGGAAAGTTGGAAGATATTGCCGACTATATGGTTGGAGAAGACGGTGCTGGATATATGACGGATGCTACAAGTGGAAGTGAGGTTGACACTGATGCGGAAGTCGAGGTAGTTGAGACACGCACTCGCAAGATACTCAATAAACGCCAAAAGGAAAAGGCTCGTGATGGACAAGCCAAGGGTGTCAAAAGTGGTGCTGAAAAACGGGCCATCAAATTGGTGGAATTAGGACCAAGGATGAAGCTAAGAATGACAAAGGTCGAAGAAGGCGTATGTGATGGAAAGATTATGTGGCACGAATATATTCATAAATCCAAGGAAGAAGTCAAAGAAATGGACAAAGTCTGGGAGAAGAGAAGGCAAGAAAAGGCACTACGCAAGAAGATACAAAAAGAGAATGTTGAGAGAAAGAAGAAGGCTAAGGCTGGTAATAAGAAGGGTGGCGAGGATGATGACGAAGATGATGATGAGATGGATGTAGATGAATGGGATAGTGAAGGTCTAGAAGGGGATGGAGAGATGGAGCTGAATGAGGAGATGGAGGAGAAAGGAGAATGGGAAGACCAGGAAGAGGAGATTGCTGCTGGTTGAGTATAAGTTGTACTCATACAGTCTATATATCTCGATGTATAAATTTTTTCGGCGTATTGAAAGGTCTCGTGGGTGTTCTTCCAAAACGATATCTAATTTAAAGCATGTCCTCAATATCTTGAGTCTCCTTCAATTTTCAATCTATACATGGGCAGACAATGGAAGTCTCCGTTTCAAGCATCTCTTGATGTAGTCTTTGTTTCCAATTCCTATTCATCTATGAATATTTCTGATGTTACCTTGATGATCCATCCTAACCCTGGGTCCGCGAAATTATAAACCGTAAAATGGGGTTACTTGTTCAGTTAATCCTTGAATCGAGTCAAATCGCTAGTGTAACATCTATCAAAAGTTTCAAGATAAAGACCTAGCTATCATCGCAGTTTTCACGGAGGAAAATTTAGGGGATAAGACTCGCTTCTTGTGTTGTAAGTTTTCTAATCATGACTGTTGGTAGCTAGCATCGGGAAGAGGAGTGAAATGGATAATATAGATGATGTTGTGACAAGTATATCTAGTATTTGGGAATAAGTAAGACTGAGTGTCGAAGATATGGATATTCTTTATACATATTACTCTTTACTTTGTCGACTAGACTATAAGCCAGGTTGTTAGCTCTTTAGTAGGTGACTGTTTTCGTAGCGCTGCTGCATAGGTAATTATTTTTCTTCTGTTTTGCTTTAGATTTCAGCACTTGATCTTCAAATCATAGTTTTGCCCGAAGACGATAATGGTACATTGAGCAACGTCATTACGCCTGCTTTTTTCTGTGGCCTTATTGTATTTATTGGCGTCATGCACACACAGCTTCTGTGAGAAGCTTGCTCGTATATGGTACTGGATACAAACTTCGGCAAAGAAGCCATTCCAATCGCATAAAAATGGGTCACATCTAACAGAAGAATGAGTGAAATCATAGAAGAGTCTCACTGGGACATGTGTTCTTCTAAAGATGTTTGAACCACAAGGCTATCTCTGTGCTCATTGCGACCGCTCTGTTAGAAGGCTATTGGGCCCTAGAACTTTCATGTCGATTGTAGAGATGGCTTTGTTACAGTCCGAGCAATGTGATAGGATATTGTCTCTGCTCCACGAAACTCCAGGAGCTTTTAAGTACGATGACCTAGAAGTCCCGTAAATTGTAAGAGCTGAATGCTCTCCCTAGGACATCTTCGGAGTAAGAGGTTGCTCTCACAAATTACCTTGTTGATTTGCCACAAGTATGTGAATAGTTCCCAAAGCTCTGCTACCTAGCGATGATGAAGTGATGAAGAAAGTGAGACTCTCAAAAGACTCGCGGGCTTGGTCATCTTTTCGCCCTTCCAGCATTAGGATCTGCGGAGTTAAGCAAAGAGTGAGTGCAATCAGTTATAACAGGATGAAATTACCGAAACCTGCTAGTGAGAATGAATTGATCGGCCTGCGAGACAAAGGATCTGAAAATTCAAGATCATATGGGAATTTTTGGTCCGGAAGTCTGTAAGATTGGGTAGGCTACTTCTATTTACTTATACCTTGCGAAGCAAGACTGCACTGGCATTGATTCAAATATGGAATGGAAATATGTTAGCGATGAGGCAGCCAGACATGGTGCGAGGCATTGCATTTGCAATGGTTATGGTGTTGTTTGGTCCTCGACAGGTTTCGCTGACGTCGCTAGCTTTTCTGGTATGAAAGATCGAATGTTTTTCAAGGTTCAAATGTGCCAATTGCTATATACTAGATTACTTTACGGAAGATAAGAGTCTATTCATCTGGGAGGACTTTAGATTACTTTGCCATATCAATTTGGCGGAAAAGACTGGTTAAACTTTCTAGCTCTCTGCGCTTAACGTGCTCATATTACCATAAGGGAAAGAGAAGTGCTACTTGACGAGATAGTTTGGTATAAATCACTAGAACAATCATGATAACAAAAGCCTTCAACTGTCTATGATGAACTACTCTCATCAAGAAAAGGTCAGACATTGATCCTATGACTTCTGGAGCTCTCGGCAGCCAAAATACTTCACATACTTTCTAAGAATGACGTTGGACCATCCAAGTATTAAATATCATTTCACCGAAAATATCATTTATTGAAGATATCTTTCATCCAGCTAAGAAAGCACCAATTGAGAAATTCAAGTTAACATTCTAAAGGCGGGAAGAATCAAAAACATGTTAATTAACCTGTCGAAAAATTTCACTACTGAAATATAAACTAATTATCAAAGACTCGAAAATATCTGTCCAAACTCCAGAACAACATAGGACTACTTTTTTTATAGCTATTTAAAATCTTATACATCTTCAAGTCCCCAGCAGTTGTAGAAAAAGAGCTGGATCCAGAAGAGCCAGAGAATATAGACTTGTTGTTCACAGTTCTATATCCCAGCGAGTACTGTAAAGTTAAGTAATCAATTCTTGTTTTGATTATTGATAATATCATAAGATCCGATCATCATTACTCTACTCTTAATTGAAATGGATATCTCCCAGGAGCTTATAATTAACATTCTAGTTCCTTTAAATCATAATCATGTAAGCTTTCAATTAAATAATGTAAAACCTATTTCTGTTACGAGGTTTGCCGTCTAGATCACGTGGAAGTGCTCTAGGCTCTCGAGGTGGTTAATAACTAGGCGTCAAGCAGGGACTTAAAGTAATGACAATAATTATATGCAATTCGTAACTAATAGTAGAGTATACTAAATGATTGATCTTGAGCACGAAGCTCTAGAGTGAGGGAATCCCTCCTAGTTATATAGATCTTCGTACTCCCTATCCCATCATCCCATCGCTCCCACTTGATTTAAGTCGGTGGGATCGGTGGGAATCGCATCTCGTAAACACACGATCGGTTACTGTAAGATCCGTGATCGTAACAATCAGCTTCCCAGGGGATGCGATGATTCAACACCTGTACGTGGTGCATCCTACGAACCTGTAATTTTTCTTACAGAGCCAAGATTGAATCAGGCTGAAGCTGGGCAAAGGTCGTGCTTTAAAAAGGAGCGGTACTGGGAGTGAAGGTATCGTGAATTTGGCCCGGAACAGAGGACTATCAGTCGAACGGAGATGAAAACTACCCGACAATCAACGAAACAACGACGGATTTCGAAGCGGAACCACCTTTACGAATCTGCAGTGGGATGCAGAGCCTGAGAATTGCTTTAAGGAGCATTTCAAAGCGGACTGCCTTTACGAATCTGTGTGGGAGCAGAGCCTGAGAAGGAAAGCGTTGTGCCGGTGATTGACAGGGCACCTCTGGGGCGCTAGCGTGCAGAATTTTCACGACTCAACAATGCGTACAATCTGCGGGTATACCGGATTGGAAGTTTACAGGTGGTTAAGGGGAGTAATCGAGAATGTATAAAGGTTGTGGTAGAGTCTTATTGAGGCCAACGGAGGTATGGGTGGATTAGGGATGGAGGGACGCTTTTGGCACTTTGCTCTACGAATGTACAAGAGCGGTATTATGGCGGCAGAGGAACTCTCGAACGAGGGGGATGCTTTTAGCAAGATTCACTCTTCTGCGAAGCATTCGGCAGACATCACGGCAGCGGATGAGCTCTGGCAGAAGCTACCTTATGAGACACATATCCGATACGTTCTCAACCCTCCGCATTATCGATTACAAACTATACATTGGGGGAATGGACTTTGCAGGCTGTGCTTTGGTTAGTGAGCTGGAAACATTGTATTTTTAGTTGCCTGGCTAGGAGTTAAGACACAGCAAAGCTTGCAAGATACGGTCGGCCTTGTTGTGCAGGAGAGATCCGGCAAGGTAACGCGAAACGGTGCACAAGCCGCGGGGCGTAGCGTATAATGGCAGCGACAGTGACACTGTCTATACGGCTCGAGAGGACGGATGCGCGTATCGGTCTACAATAGGGTACAAGGCAGCTGGCAATGGAGATACCGGGTAGGCTTAGGGAGCAAACAGGATAATAGGTGTAGAAAGGTTGTTTTTGCCTGGGGGCAACCTTCTCAAAGGATATTGAGACTGACATCTTGTATCTGGGAAAGCATGGTAAGAATTGGTTACTCTTACTTATATTTGTAGTCTCACTGGATATATTATAAAAGACTCATAGATTTGCAAATATAATATTATCACTGCCCAGATCATACAGACCCATCGCCCTACTCTCAGTCCTCGGCAAAGGACTCGAACGATTAATTGCCCGGCAAATGTCCTGGACCTCGATCTCCCATAAAGTCCTTTCCACACACCAATTCGGAGCCCTGCCTCTCAGATCCTCAGTAGACCTCACCACCTGCCTTACCCACGATGTCGAACATGCACTTAACTTAAACGGCTCGGCCTCGTTGCTCACTCTCGATATCAAAGGAGCCTTCGACGCTGTCCTCCCCGGACGCCTGATCCGGAGGCTCCGGGAACAAGGCTGGGCCCCTAACCTCACCAAATGGTTATCCTCCTTCGTAACCCGAAGAACCATCCAAGTCCGCCTAGATGGAACCACAGGCCCCAAAACAAACATTGAATGCGGGCTCCCACAAGGCTCCCCTATATCACCCATTCTCTTTATGTTATACATCGCCCCTATCTTCAAAATGGGGAAGGACACAATCAAATTCGGCTACGCAGACGATGTAGCTATACTAGCAGCCTCGAACTCTCTGGATGATAATGTCACCGAACTCAACGCTACCACACTGGAGATCCTAACCTGGGGCGCCTCAGAAGGCATCACCTTTGATCCCGGCAAATCAGAACTCATCCACTTCTCAAAACGCAGGACTGAACAGAACCCAGATACTACCCCTACAATTACTATGGGAGATCTAACAATCAAAGAACTTGCCAATGGAAAGCCCTATATTAGATGGCTCGGAATCCTCTTCGATAAAAAGTTATCCTTCAAATGGCATACGAAAGAACTAGCTACAAAAGCTATTGTAATAGCCAGAGCTCTTAAATCCCTGGGTAACTCTATAAGAGGAGCCCCTCCCAGACTACTACGGCAAGCCGCTGAAGCATGTGTCCTCAAACGTGCATACTTTGGAGCAGAAACCTGGTGGACAGGTAGAACACAATTCGGAATAAACCACCCTACTAAGGTGGAGGGCCATATCAACCAGTTAAGTAAGGTTACCTTAGAGTGTGCCAGAGCAATCCTGCCAGTATGGAGGACAACCAACATAGCAATACTGCACCGTGAATCAGGACTCCGCCCGCCTGAAATTGAACTGGACGACCTAGCTCGCGCTTCAACAGTTAGAACCAGAAGACTGGACCCCTACCACCCTCTCGCCTGGAGAGCTAAATGGATCCAAGAGGACCCCGGCTCTTTCAAGACCCGTTTCGCCTGCCGTATCCTATCTCTTCCGCCCTCGGAACAGATCGATCCCCTATCAGCCCCTAAATGGCTAGAATATGAATCAAGAGCAGAAATAATGAAGCGTATTCACAGCCCCAATGGCCGTACCAAACAGGAAGCAGCTACTGAATTCAACGATTTCTATGACCTACTCCCTCGCGAAGATATCGTTATCTTCTCTGACGGGTCTAAACTTGCAAACGGCAACACTGGTGGCGGTTTCGTAGGGTACCAAGACAACCACAAATTCTGCGAAGGGAGCCTTCCACTAGGAAGAATGAAGGAAGTAAGACTCCTCTCCAAATCTACCGGATCCTCCCAGGACACCTTCTCGGCTTTCCGCCAACTAGCCTCAACCTGGCACAATGGCACAGTCCATATCCGATGGGTCCCTGGTCATAAAGATGTAGCAGGAAACGAAGCGGCTGACAAAGCGGCCAAGGCAGGGGCAGCCCTCCCTCAACCCACAGGGGCCTACTCATATGCAGGACTCAGAAGAGTGACCAAAGGACTCAGGCAAAAAGCAATGAATCAGCTGTGGTCAACAGTGATCCCAACAGCCTACAGAGACCTCGAGATCTTTACCTCACCAAGGAACCCAAAAGAACTCTCTCTCCCTAGACCCTTCCTAGGTCGCCTAATAGCTATCCGCTCAGGCCATGGAGACTTCGCATCGTACCACGAACGTTTCCTACATCAAGACGCACAACTGCTTTGCAGATGTGGAGCCCGTAAATCCCCAGTACACTTCTTCTTCTGCAGTATCGCCAAAAGAAACCACCCCCGGCCTAAAGGGAAACCTGCCGATATTCTTCCGTTCCTCTGCGGTACCTACGAAGGTGCTGAGGTATTAGCAAACTGGACGAAAGCGAACGGATTCTATACCAACATATGTCCCCTCCACCTCCCTCCCCCCCCAATCTTAAAGGGCCCCATTCACTCGCTGTGAGACCCCAGGTCGCAGAGCTACCCTAACAGACAATCAAAATTGACCATAAAACCTGTATTTCCTTTGTAAGAAAAAAAAAAAAAAAAAAAAAAAAAAAAGCTTATATAATCAATTGTGGAGGCGCTAAGAAGGTCATGGGGTTTTAGGCGGACCGGCTGCAGCTCGGCAGAATTCATACTAAGTAATCCCTCCACCAATAGGAAGGATTAATTTCTCATCAAGATCACGGCAGCTATGGGAATGCGCTCAGGAATCACTACACTCTGTAGAAATAGTATGTATATAACTATTAGAAACCCAGGAGTAACTCCCTGGCGGCCTTTGCCCCAAGAGGGGATGTCATGAGAATGGGGGGGCTTCGCCCCCTCGGCCTCTGGCCGTTAAATAATAACACACACACACACACAATCAGCTTCCCAGGTCATTCCTTTTAACCAAAATATTGGAAAAAAAAAGATTTTTAAAAAATTCATTAAAGATTAAGAATATATAAGTTTAATACAATATATATAATATTATTATTAAATAAATATCAAGATTTTATAATCTTATAACCCTTTTATATCACTCTTCTACCCCATCATATCACAATATCATAACATCAGTCATCCCTACATCCACACCCACCTTCAAAACAACCCAATTAAATTTCACAAGACTTATATACCTAATATTAACTCTAAAATTCTCATTACTTTCCCAATAACTCAACTCATCTCAACTCATTTTATCTCATCATCTCATCTACATGAAACCCAATAAAAAAGCTTGTTTCGTTAGGTAGGTACTTGGTAAGTAGTCTTAATAGTATAAAAGGATCCTTCCTTCCACCCATGAATCTATGATGAGCACGAGTACAACCACCATCACTTCCCTCTCCCATCCAAAAATGACTACAGCCACACATATACCAATTCTCAATTCGAGATATTCATTTCATCAACAATCCAATCCTTAGTTACGTCATTATTCACCTCGTCATCATATCTTGAAGTGAACGAGTATAGCTCAAGCAGCCGCCGCCTTCATCATGCACCACCTTCATTATACACCACTTCCATCATACTTTGTAATCAAGCAACCGGAACTTGTACATTTATTTGTTGAGGTTGTAGAGTTTGTTCCGATCTCACATGTTTGGAAGCCTTCGTCTCATCAAATCTCCAAATTCCACCAGTTTTATCCTCATCTGCTGATAATTGGATACATGGAGACAATTTTTGCAAGATTGGACAATTTTCCATCTTGGTGAAATATCTTCTTTCCCAAGTTCTACCCTCACTCTTCTCCTTTATTCTAAGTTCTCGTTGAAAAACTTCAATTTTAGTCTTCTCGTTACTGGTTGCATCCATATCACCGGCTGCGATACCAGCTGCGACCTTGGACCAAGCACGCCGCGACTCTAATGGATCTTGTTCTTCGATTGGTGCAACGATGAGTGGAGTGGTAGGTGCAGCATCTGCATCATAAGTATCTATCAGATCACTTTTCTTTCCACCTTCTCTGATCTCGAATTGTTTGGTCCATTGTCCAGTGATGGTATAGAGAGTTTCCTTTTCTTTGCCAGTGGGATATAATGTAGCGGTGAAACTATTCTTCTTGCCAGATAACCATCCTTTGCCACTATAATCAATCTTGGCGGTAAATCCTGAGCTACTTGTAATGTAAGATTTGGCCTCGAGCTCGACAAATGGCGAACCAAAGATTAAACCTTCAATGTGGAGGTTTGGAAGAGTGATGAGATAGGTTTCGTTGTAGACAGGAATACTCAAAAGTGCATGACCGATTTGTTTAACGTTGATGGTTCGAGAGAAAGAAGCTTTTTGAGCATTGTATCCTTGTAAATATACGCCATGTTTCTTGTTGGATATTTGATATGCGGTAACAGGTGGATGATGGCTAAAGGCAAGATTAGAGATGGCACATTATTCACATGTAGAAGAAAACATACCTGACCTGCTCAGAAATAAGCTCGGTAGTCCCACAGGAATCCTCCCACTTTCCAAGAAACAACTCTCCTAAGAAAGGATTTAAAGGTTTCTTCTCATTTCCATATTTATCACTTCGACTCGCATATTGTTGTTTCAATGTACTCAAGAACCATTTCAAGACCAAGAGTGCTCGTTTTTGCGGATCCTGCTCTGCGGCAGGTGCGACGAATAGATTAGGATGTTCTGCCCAATATGAAGAGAATTCAGTCAACGATGTTGATGATAGAATGAATGGTGGAGCTGTCAACGAAGATAAATCCCCGTTGAATGAAGCGATCGACTTGAGGAACGCGCTCCAAGATCCTTTGTTTTGCGCAGATACTCCTGCTCCTTCAGCTTCGTTGGAAGACATCTGTTTGATATTTCGATTTGTTTTGGGAGATTGTGGATCTGATTAAAACCAAGGAGGTTGAGAGATTGTGGGTCGAATTTTCGAGGTGCACTTGTTCAGTTGTGGAAAGAATATGATCGTTCTTAAACGAATAGTGCTTTAAAACAATTTAATTATAAAGTATAGAATTCAAGAGGGTGAATGAACAAGAAACAAGAATGTTTGATGGTGAGAAGGAAAGGAAGGATTGTCCTTGTGATATTAGTACGACGTCCACAACCAACGGTGCGATGGGTTATGGATGTATGGATGGGTTGGTTGATCGGATGGATTCAAGGGCATTTATTACTCGTAGATTCACCAGGGGGAAATGGTTGGTGGAATTGCGGAGCCTTTTAGCTTGACTTTTGCCCCTCAAATTGATACTTTGGCCCATTCGCTTGTGGAGAACGTCATCTACAGATTACAGAAGCACTACCCAAAATATTCAAATGTTGGTAATGAATTACTCATGTAAGTATTCCGTCCTTTTGGGATCCTATTTCTACTGGTCGAATGGATCCATACGAAACTTGATAATACCTTGATTGTACCTGCAGATTCAGAAAACAGGAAAGTACGGAGTAGTATATAAATTGAGTTGCTGTTGGTTTAATACTTATTTTACATTAACAGATGCAAAGTATCAGGTACTTATCACCTACCTCGTATATATTCGAGTACACCTTCACAACTCTGCTATATACAATAATTACAATATATTTGACTTTAAAGAACACATACCTACAGTACTCCCTACTCACACAAACTCAACACCATATCCATACTCCAAACATCACATACCATCCCCCACAAAGTGGACAGCTAAAGCAAACCCAATCAGCCCCAAACCACAATCCCAAACCCAAAATGTACTTATTGTTCCTACAGTATAGTACACACACGAATTCAACCCTCCAAAATTACTAACCACCACCATTTTCAAAAACATGTCTAGCCTACAAGTGTGAGCTCGTATTATTACTACTCAAGAAAATTATCGAGGCCGCGTTTCGTATGTGGCTTATACATTCCACTAAAATGTTATTCACATTGCTATTGCTAATCATTGACCCTGATTCAGGAAAGTCCGACGGCCAAATGGACAGTTGGAGGCTAAAATACTCGAACCTGATAAAGCGCTTAATTAGGATGAAACTTTCGCGCCGTTTGTTCTCTTGATGAAAATCCTTTGATGTCATCCTAAGTATTCCGATCAAATTCAAACTTTATATGCATGCATTCATTCAAATCGTGTCAATTATAACAGGAAGTTTCCTAATGAGTTATTCTTTGCATTTATAGGTTTGACCAAAACTCCTCCGCCCCATCCACCATTTCTCCACTTTCGCTATGTATTTCATAACAATGTCCTAAACCGTGTAAATCTTTTAAACGCAACTTGAATGTTCGCTAGTCATCATAATAAATTTATAGCTGTCCTGCAGTGTTGAAATCCTTGAGACCCTCGGCGAGACGTTGGGACATGGTTTTCTCTCCCTCACGAACCCAGACACGGGGACTATCATAGTATTAGTATACATTGTTGTCAAAGATTCAGAAGATACTTACTCGAACTTCTTCTTGTTTGGCTTGTCTGCTCCATCTGGGTTACCAACTGGGGTCATGAGGTAATCCTTGTTTTTAAGGATGTAGTCTCGGATACCACTGAGGTAAGCGAATAGCATATCGGTGTCAAGATTGACCTTGACAACACCGTATGAGATGGCTTCCAAGAATTCTTGCTTGGAAGATCCAGATCCACCGTGGAAGACCAAGAAGACTGGCTTGTCTTCCTTTGCTCCAATGGCTTGCTTGACATGGGCTTGGTGCTTGCCGAGAAGCTCAGGGCGGAGCTTGACGTTACCTGGCTTGTAAACACCGTGAACGTTACCGAAACCAGCGGCAATCGAGAAGTATGGTGAGATTGGGGAAAGAGCTTGGTAGATGGCAAGGATATCCTCTGGTTGAGTGTAGAGGGAGTTGTTGTCAACATCCTCATTGTCGACACCGTCCTCTTCACCACCGGTAATACCGATCTCCTGTAAAATGAATTAGTAACTGACACTATCAGGCATCTCATATCCCTTGTTAACATACCATCTCGAGCCATTGCTTCATTGGTGCAGCTCTCTTCAAGTATTCGGCAGTAGTCTTGATGTTGTAGTCAACCTCCTCCTCGCTCAAATCGATCATGTGGGAAGAGAACAAAGGCTCGCCGTGCTCCTTGAAGTATTTCTCATCAGCGTCGAGGAGACCGTCCAACCATGGCAAAAGCTTCTTGGCGCAGTGATCGGTGTGGAGGACAACTGGGATACCGTATGCTGGAGCAAGAGCACGGATGTAGTGGGCACCGGCAATACCACCAGCGATGGATGCCTCTTGGTTACCGTTGGCAACACCCTATTCAGAAATTAGTTATTGCATGTTTGGTTGAGTGAAGGTTTTCTAACCTTTCCAGCGAAGTAAGCGGCACCACCTTGGGACATTTGGAGGATAATTGGGGATTTGGCATCGCGGGCAGCTTCGAGGGATGCTACGACGGTTGAGGAAGAGGTAACGTTCTGTCATTATTAGTTGTTATCCTTCACGATGATCTTTCGTTGCTGGCGTAACATACAATAGCTGGAATAGCAAAGTTGTGCTCTTGAGCATAGTTGAAAAGCTTGAGGACATCATCTCCAACGATGACTCCGGACTTTCGGCTGAGAACGTCTGTGCAACCCATATTTTCGATTGTAAATGTGTATATGTATTTGAAAGTTGTGGTGATTTCAAAAAGGGGTATCTGAGATTTGGGGAAAAAGAGTCAATAAAGAGTCAAAATAATTGATCAAGATGGAAAAGGTTTTCTTTAGTAGAAAGTCTTCGAGAGGGGTGGAGTATTTTTGGCTTTCAGGACCGATACCGTCACATTTAAAATGACGCTAATGGTGGGGTGGTTGTTTCCAAATAGAATCCTCAACATATCAATTTGTTGGCATTCATTGGTCTTGCAGACAAAAAGATATGGAACCCCGAGTTGGACCTTTGGTGAATGTGATGCGATGTGACGTGACGTACGTACCTTTTACTTCTTTCTTCCCACTTACTTTTAGTTAATGTTTTTATCAAAATTAGTAAGTAATAAATAAACTCGAGTACTAATAAGGTCAACTGAAGCCAATATTTACGATGGTTATAAAAAGGTTAGTGAGGCATGATACCAACGTAAACTTCACATATTATTCAAGTACAATCTGATCAAGTTGTTGCAAGTGGGGTAGCTGGTGAAATTGACCTCATAACCATGGCAATAATATCACTTACCGAAGAAACTACGGCGAGATCCTCCGATCATCATGCATCTTTGTTTGCATTCTTCTGCCCCTCGGGCTTATTCACTTTCTTAGGCCTGCAACCAAGAGAAGCGAAACTCTTTTCCCGTCATAGCATACGGAGTTATACTCGACTAGATAGCTCATTGTAAGATCATACCTACCGCGACTGTGTGAGGATGTAGCGCATAAATATTTTCAACGCTGATGTTGAGTGTAATGTAAAGACAAGCCATTTTCAAGAGTGGAAAGGAGTCAGACGACTAGACACTGACTGTATGCATTGACGGATGGACCGATTTTTTACGGCCAACGACTTGTCTCCTGGAATCAAATATTTACAGCTGGACCCCTCAGGTTCGAACTAACTCTGTATTCTCATTGAACTTTATCCCTCAGCTCATGATGCATGATCGAAATCGAATGATGCCTTTATACTCTCTTCCCCGATTGGGTAATGTGTATGTAGTGTTACATCTATAAACAAGGCTTAATATATAGGTATCTTTCAAAGCCTTTTCAACATCCGTTGATCTCATCGTTAGCTCTAATCTTGTGCATTGATTTTGATAGACCTTCGAACAATATCAGTAGCACCCTTGAGTTGTATGTCAACCTCATAAATGCCTAAATGTTTGACGCGGTCCTTCTCCTCTGTCTCTTGGACAAATTTGATATCTTCTGGTCCAAATACGACCCGCTTTCCCTCAGAGTCCTGAACTAAAATGGTTTTCATTTTCGTGGCTATATCCGTAGTCGATACCGACCCATAGATGGGTACCTTCTCTGGCTTCCCCGCACTATTCTGGACGGCCGCGGCGGAGACGGAGGAAGATGACGCTAAAGATGGCGAGACCTTCTTTACTGGTGGAGGGGCAATGGTGATGGCTGTTTCGAAGAATTCTATGTAAGGTGGCATTAAATCGGATAAGATAGCAGTGGAGCGTTGGGGCTATTCACAGCCAGTCAGCAAATCTTGTCTTCTAATTTGTGGAAAAATCGAGGTATACGTACGCTCAGTAATTCAAGCTCAACCACCTTCTTGAGATTCAGTCGACGTTCTCCGCTAGGGAATTTGTCTGGCTTCTCCTGATTTTGTACCTGCTCTATTCTGATTTTGCGCTTGCCGAAAGTACTATCAGGAGGAGAGACGAGTTTCCTCAAGCCCCTTTCTCCAGATTCTCCAGGTGTCACATATACAGCAAATCCCTTGCCATACAATTTATTTCGCATCAATCCGGGAGGAACTTGAACAATTCTTCCTATATTGAAATTAGTGGGTGAAACTTAAAGTCCTCGAGTAGATGCAAGGCAAACTTGCCCTTTCTGCCAATTCCTACCACAGGTTTCAGTAACTGAACGGTAACGTTGTGATCTTTTTCTTTCGCAAGCTTCTTCTTCCCTCGAACCTGCTGGCTACTTGAGAATAGAAGCCCATCACCAAAACTATTTGTCGTCCTGCGAAGGCATGCTAGGCATGAGGGTGCCCGCGACTGTAATAAAGAAGCCATCGAGAGACAGTGAGTTGAGAGAATCTCCAAATAATTGTTGCAGTTCAAATCGCCAAAAATATTTGGCTGTGCTTAATAGACACCTTGGTTTATTTCATTCACCCCCCCCCCCCCCACTAGCTCCGGGACATCCGCATTTAAACAAAGGACTGGGGG